ATAAACCCCATTGAGAATGCATTTTGCCTGCTAAAGAGAGGGTGTGGAGGCCCGGAAAAGCCTCACACAAGAATTCAAATGTTTGGTGAAAGGTTTAATTGAGTTACTGCAACTCAACAAAGTCTATTTTAAGTTCCTCTGTTCCAGTGTTAGCTCTTATTAAATACCGTGTTTTCTTTCAAATCATATCGTCTCATATTTGGGTTTCGCGTATTTTAGTCACCATGCCTAATTTTGTATAGATTATGAACACCTCTCGTCACAGCAAACCATGGTGGCATATATAGATATATAACCTATATGTGCCACCATGGGCAGAATACCGTATGTAAAAAATGTCATGGCTAGTGAAGGTCAGTTCATATTCAATGCTACAGCAAAACCGAAAGGTTAGATGGGAACCAATCAACTCGGGTGGCATTTCAGTGTCTTTTCATCGCTGACATAATGAGACTTGCTGAGTGAATAGTGTACGGAATAGTGTCAGTGCTGTTGCCTGGCAGGTTTACTGGAGTAAATAAGAAAGGCTAGAAGTGCAGTTTGACGATTCTATTCGAATGCGACACACTGTAGATGGGATCGAGGCCACCATGTGTACGAAGGTCATGCCATGCATGGTTCATCCCTTCCCTAATGAAGATGAAGTTGGCGAATGAAGATCCCTTCAAAACGCACTCCATCTTAGCTTGCACATCAGGTACCCCCGCATGATCTATAGATCCAAATCTATAATCACATGTGGGGCAGTAATAATCAGTTCCAGGGTGAAACTGATTAGTAAGGTGAGGAGTGAACTCATTTCTTTAGATTCCTCACTCTTCATCGAGTGTTAGAGAAAGTATAACCACTTAATACACAAATACTGAAACAGTAAACCTTACATATAAATACAAGTGAGGCTGCGTATGGTGATGTTGGAGTCTTTCTGCTTAGAATGAGAGTCTACTTACTTCACTTGACTTCTGTCTCGTCAAACCTTGCCGCCATGCTCCTGCCACAAGCACACTGTTGTCATCTGTCTAGTATATGTAATTCAAATTTGGTTGCAATCGCACAAAATCACAAAAGGATAAGTTGTCCAAACCCTGCCCTTAAACCAAAATAACAGACTTCCGGTGTCTTTTCAGGCATGGCTTCCAAATTCGTCAGCGACACAACTTAGACCTGCAGCTGCGCAGTCTAAATTCCAGTCTACTTTCTGTCATCAAATTGTAAGGTGCGCTGGGGGCATGAAATGAAAAATGCCTTCGGTCCGCCGGAATTCCCAGCGAGGCGCAACGTTCTGCAAAATTCCCAGACATGGCAAAGAAGACTTGAAGATATGCCCATTTTTATGCAGAGCGCACGAGCGCCTGTCTACCAAAATAGGGCGCCGTATCTTTTTAGTCATGGCTTTTAACTTTTTTGTGGGTCTACTCATGATATTGCAGTCAAATTAAAACTACTTGTTGCTAAGTGAAACTGGGTTCAGGGGCTACATTTCCAAACTTTCAAGAGGTTTGGGAATTACCCAGCCAAAATTTATCACAATGTTCGTCCACATCCAATAACCAAGACTCAAATTCCTCGCAATTTAAGGTTGTACTTCTGTTTAGTATATGTAATTCAAATTTGGCAGCAATCGGATCAAATATAAGTAATGTGTGAAGAACCCCTGGAAATGTGTAGGAGGACCCAAAAACAAAACTTGACATTTAAGACATGGATTTCAAGACTTTTTTTTGCGGGTCTACTTCATGAGTCACGATAGAGAGGTCTAACAAAACTCATGTTGCCAAGTTAAACTGGCTTTGGGGCTGAATTTTCAAACATGGTGGGGTTACCTTATTTAGCTACACTACATGAACGACCCCCCTACAAAAAAAAAAAAAAAAAACATCCTTGTTCCTATGACACTGTGAGTATGCCAGTAAACAACTGCATTGGTACATGTCTCATCAGTCAAGCATCACCACTTCGTGTTCAGATCTCCCCACCCTCCCCTGAGATGTTCTTCCATCCATTTCGAGCACAACAAGACTCTTCACATCTCCTCCGACCGAGTCTGCTGTCAACAGCTCAGATCACTGTGTCTTAAACCTCTTAAACCTCCAAGTGGACCAAAAATGTGTGCTGTAATCTGAATTAATTCAGAGCATAAGCATGTGCCTACCTGACATTTTTTTAACCCTGATCTTATCTGATGTGAGCAGCATGAAACACACTTTCAAAATCTTCTCTGTGATTATACCAAAGGCAACAGAAGAGGAACATTAGCTGTTTTTTTTTTTTTTTTTTGCGTAACTAAGCACATCTCGCACTCATACCTTTCCCCCGTAAAAGTACTTACGAGAGCAAAAATACCAACACAAAAAATGCTTTTGTGATGACTTTTGTCAGAATGGAGAAGAAAGTGCAAATTTGTCACAGGCTGCTTTGCCTTTCACAAGTCATTTGGCTGCGAATACGAATAAATAATACAGCAGAGCGTTGGAATACAAAACCATTGTTATCGCAATAGCAAAAGGAAATGGAAGTCATCCGTTGCAGGGTTAAACTGTTGGCATCACAAAACCATTGTTAATTCTACAGGCACTATTTGAAGTAACTTCTATTAACAGACATACACAAACCCCGAAATAAATTCACTACTGTTAGAATTAAGAATAAACAAGATTTATTATGCCATTTTTTTACAATTTAAAAAAATTCTGAGGTGTCTTAATAAAAGGTATATGACATCCATTCATCAAACTCCGAGTATTCAGTGTTGCCAATTTACCAACTAATCTTGTGAATTTATGTGGACTTGTTTTAGGTGACTTCCCATCCAGACTGTAAATGTCGCTTGCACAAATCTGTTGACTAATTTAATAAGATGTCCATTTTTTTATGTGTCCCATTAAAACATGTGAAGGTTATTCACATTGCAGATTAACATTCTTTGCTGGCACGCAAGTGTAAAAATAAGTGGACCACCGTTAGTATTAAAATGTAAAAAAAAGAAACAAACACAAATAAAAACAATAAAACGCGCAAGGACATGGATGGCTGGATATAAACGCTGGTCTGCCGTTCTATTTATTTACTTAATTTCACGTTAGGGTACAGAGGCCCCGGCCTTCCTGTGTGGAGTTTGCATGTTCTCCCCGTGCCTGCGTGGGGTTTCTCCGGGTACTCCGGTTTCCTCTTTTCCCTCCAATTGAGTTTTATTTAAACATTTTGGAGTACAATTGCCTCCCCTGGCCACTAGAGCGGGAGTAAATCTTCAGAATGGATCAAAATCTCTTCATTCAGAGTACATGAGGGTCTTGTCAGTGTAAAATGTAGGTGAGTCACTTATGTTCTCATCAAATAAAAGTTGATTTGAATCATTTGGAGTACAATTAATCCACAACTTTGAGCAAGATTTACTCAGAATATTTTACTCTTCCAAGTAAAAATTTGACTTTTTATACTAAGATAAAAACTGTCCTCTGTGAAATTTATTGTGTAGGTTCATTGAAGACTCTAAATCTAAATTGCCCATTGGTGTGAAAGTGAGTGTGAATGCCGATTTGTCTATTTTATGTGTCCTGTGATTCGCTGGCAACAACTCCTGGGTGGACATCACTTTTCCATAGTTTGCTGGGATAGACTCCACTACATCCAATTAGGAACAACTGGTACAAAAATGGATGCATGAATGTGTGACGTGAGTGACTGATGACCCGCAGGCTGTATCCCACTTCTCTTGCCAAAAGCTAACTGGGACAGCTGGAGCTCACCCGTGACCCTAATGAGGACAAGCGCTACGGAAAACGGATGAATAGATGTAGCCCCGTGATTGACTGGTGACTGGTGAATGGTGGACCCTTGCTGCTCCTGCCAAAAGTCAACTGAGAGTTTTCAAAGGTGCCCTTAATGAGGACACATGGTACAGAAAATGGATGGGTGTGCCCAGTTATTGGCTGGCAAACAGCCTGTGGTGTACCCCGCTGCTCTCACCAAAATTCACTTTGGACAGGCACCAGCTCACCTGCAACCCTAATGTGTGTGTGTGTGTGTGTGTGTGTGTGTGTGTGTGTGTGTGTGTGTGTGTGTGTGTGTGTGTGTGTGTGTATGTATATATATATATTTGTTTTGTTTTGTTTGTTTTGTTTATTGTTCATTGAACATATGTAAAACACACAATAACAGATTGTCAAAATCCAAACTAAAATTATCAAAGGAAAAAAAAAATATATATATATATATATATATATATATATATATATATATATATATATATATATATATATATATATATATATATATATATATATATATATATATATATATATATGTGCATGTTGTTTCCTAATATTATGGCTGACGGTGTACATGAGGACGCCGGGTGGCAATTTTCTGCAGTCTCCACTATCACTTCCACTCAATCCTCACACCAGATGGGTGTGGATTTCAATCTCCCATTCAAAGAATGACCACATTTGCATTTAAACTCCCTCAAAATCCTCCACCTGCTGCCTCCATTGTGACATGGGCAATTCCTCGTTCCCATCAACCCCAGGTATACTGTGCCTATCGATATGTAATGGAACATATGTGCAGCCTCTTGTGGCTTTTCTATCTGCTGATCGAAATCAGCATGCATAATCGACAGCCATAAAAAAGAAAAGAAAAAAAAAACACTCCCTGAACAGAAAGGAACCACATGTATAATCAGGACTCCCATTTGACTGGCTTTTTGATAGCTCGTAATTTACAATCAGGCGTTGCAGTGTGTTCTCAGTTAGATCAATTGTGATACAAGGTGAAGCATTAAAGTGCATTTTCGAAGCGCGTGACACTAAAGGTCACACCAAAAATGGTATAAAACATGGTATGCCCATTCGTTGAGTTTGTAGATTGGAATATTGATGCATGCCTCCCTCAGAAGCTTTTAAACTGCCCGAAGTGTGCATTAGCATTAATTGACATGACAATGAGGAAGCCCATTTAATAGTAAAAAATAAAAAATCATATTCACGTTACTAACTTACCCCAAGGAGAACAGCGTCTTCGCCCTGGAATACTGGGATGAACTTATCTCCACGCAGGATTTCCGACCGGTTGAGTGGACGAAAACGACACAGCACCTTGATATTGCATTCAGCATTATTGTCAGCCATTGTTTAGTAATAAAAGAAAATAAAAAAAGAAAGCAAGAAGTACAGCCCCACAAAAAGAAAGGAAAAAAAAACACAATAAAACAATCTCCCTGCAACCTGTTCCCAGTGGATGCTGGCTTATGCACACGCAAGGCAGTGCATTTGCAAGCTTGGACTATATACTCTTGGGGTTATTTGATGTTCAAAAGCATGGAGGAGAAAAAGAAGAGGGGTTAGAAAAAGAGAAAGAAAGAAAACAACCCCAAGGCGCAATTCGGTGGCGAACAGATGGCAGAGAGTTGCACTGGGGTAGAACAGTCCAAACTGGTCTGGTCGACAGCGTCTGCAAAATCAGCATGCTCGCATCTCTCGTTCCTCATCTCTCCCTCTCCCCATGTGTGTGTGTCTCTCTCTCTCTCTCTCTCTCTCTCTTGCTCTCCCTCACCCTCCTTCTCTCTTTTCTCTCTCTCTCTTTCGCTCTCTCTGCCGTGCTCTATAGGAGTGGGTGGGGCATCCGACATCCTCTCATCAGCACCACTAGATGAAGAAGAGATCCGACACTATTCCGCGCCCCCCATAACCACTGTTACTGCCATTTTTAGAGTTCATTTTATCTGAAAGTTCACCACAAAAGATTTTTCAAGAAATGCATGCACTCAGATTAAAGTGGGTTGCCAGGTCAGTTCCGAAAATATGCTCTTCAGAACACCTGCACAGGCCAATAAAATAAAAAATAAAAAAATCTGGTTTTGCAAAGAAAATGTTTAATTTTACTTTGTGCTTATTTTCATCATCATAGAGTGCCACTGTAAGTGTTCCTAACAGTTTTGGTACATGCAGCACATGCCACTAGGAAATGTAAGCACAATGAATACACAACTCGAAAGTATGCAGCTTTTTCTTACCTGGTATCAGGGTGTCATCAGAACGATGCCAGTGGGATGATTAAGGATGACAGAACACCTAAGGAAGGGGGGGGGGCAAGTGTGGGTTGGTCATTCTTGATCATACCATCCACAGTCAGGGATTCATGAAATAAAATTCCAAAACAATGCCCATTACACTCATAATCAAGCTGGAACAAATCTAAGTAAAAGGAAACATTTTGATGAGCTTACTTTATTAGATAATGCAATTTTCTTAGCGGTGGCTTTGCTTTTGTGTTCGAGCTCAGTCTACTTCTGCTCAAGCACTGATTCGCTAGCTAATAGTCAAACAGAGTGATCAATTTTCACGGATGGCCGACGCCATTTTGGATACTACTATCAATATCTCAAACATTCAAATAATTTCACACAAAAGTCTCTTAACTATTCACAATTCTTAAATCTTTTTAGTTTTGTTCCTGCTTGCTGCTTGTATCATTAGTGTGTGTGCAAGATTGGTATGTGTGTCCATTTTATTTCATGAAACCATGATTGTGAATGGTAGGATAAACCTCTTAGCCATGTTTGCGTAGTATGGTGTGTAAGTAATAATTGATTGGTACTTACTTTTTTTTGGAACTGAATGTTTTTTTTCCTTAAAACTGTTTATTTTATTGTTTGCATTCAAATCAAATATACATTTATTATTTAAATATGTATTTAATGTTAAAAAAAAACAACAAAAAAATTGTGGCAGAGTATCCAGGCGTCTTTGTATGTTGCGTCCATGTGAAAATTGCAGAACAGGTATCAAAATGTTCCCCTAGTTTTATAATTGTACAGTAAATGACTGATGAGCCATATGGTAGGGTAAGCATTTTACACCTATTTGTTTCACACCTTGAAATCTATTCCATTTTTAGCTAACAAAATAAATTATGTCCAATATTTATTTTTTTTTAACTCAAATCTCTTTCTAATATTGTTGCACTCTGGTGACTGCCTTCGCTTAAAACTCCCATAATCAAACATGATAGCTAATTTCGAAGTTCTACCTTACATCTTTGCACAGAATGCTTAATAAAGTTTTAATAGTGCATGTTATTACTTTTCCAGGGGCACCAATCTTGTGGCGTTATAATGAAGACCAGTTTTCATGGACCTAACCTGAATGGGGACCGACCGACCTGGCAACCGCCTACACTTGTTGGTTTGAGTGTTTTGCTTGTATCTTTGGCGCCACCACATGGCTACTTTTGCTACAACTTGTAAAAATGAGAAATGAAGTAACGTCAGTTATTTTAAAGGATCAAAAAATAAACACAAAAAAAAAACGTTGAATTTAGTTTTGGTTCTGACTAGCAATAAAATGTGATTTTTTTGATGCAAAATCCTTTCGTGTCTTGGCTTAAACTGCGCACGCGCATTGAGGCGACGTTTTTGCCCTGCGTTTGATTTGCTTACCAGAATGAGCCGTCTCCGTCGTCTACGCCGAGCGGCGCCTCAATAACAGAGCGAATGCGCGACGCAGTGAATTAAACCAAACGTACAAAACTGTCGAAAGGAGCCAGTGACTACATCAGCCCAAGAAGCGTCCGCTAGTCGCCCGGTTCTGGCTGCGGTTGCCTTTTTGTCACATTTCGACTCAGCAGATTGATAAATAACACTTTGTGTCGTCTTTGTTGTTGCGTCGGCATTGCAATTTGCTCTCACGCACAATGGCTGACCCCAAATACGCCAATTTACCGGGAATTGTAAGTTGCTATTGCTTCGTCTGGTTAGCCTAGCTTCGGCTAAAACGATTAGAATTTGCTAACATTGACTCAGCTGTTTTACGAGCGTTACTAAAACCTACAAATGACAGTATTGCACGATTACACATTTTAAATGCTGTTTTTGTGGTGAGCTAAAAAACATCGTAGAGGAAGTAGAGAAAGTTGTATCGTGTTTGAACGAGCCGGGGCGTCGCCCCGGCTCCAAGCTGCTGCTCGTTTATTTTGGTTCTAATTGTTATTTTGTCGTTTAAATAGGCTTTTAACGAGCCGGATGTGTACGAGACGGGTGACCTACCAGAAGATGACCAGGCTCAGTTCGAGTCCGTAAGTTGCTTGCTGTAGCATAACAATAAATATTAAAATCAATCATGTTTCTATTTTCGACCCAATTACGAAATAAAAATGACAAATGCTTATTAGTAGGAAGATTGTATTTTGGAAAATTAACCATCGACTAAATGAATGGTGATAGGAGCAGCCTGATTAGACTTTTCATGTTGAAAGGAGTTGCTTGTAGGCCTTATTCGCCAGCCTTTACTTTGAGTTTGAATATCGTATTTCCTCAAATAGTGGCCTTATTAAACTCCACAATACCAAGAATTTGGCAGAATATCCAACTATGAATTGACCATAGGGTGTGAATGGTTGCCTTTTTGTGCCCTGCTCCTGACTGGCTCCCAGTCCAGGATAGACCCCACTTTTCTCACCTAAAGTCAGCCAAGATCATGACCCCAATGAGGGTAAATGGTGTAGAAAATGGATGGATGTGCTCTTTGATTGACTGGTGACTAATCAAGAGTGTACCCAACTTCCGATGCCAGATTCAAAGTTGTCATTGTTAGTCGATATGTGCTCTGTACATGGCTGGTGACCAATGCACAAGTCAGCTCGGACAGGCTCCAATTTCCACATGAGCACAAGCGCTGTAGTGAAGGATGGATGGATATTTTCTTAATGTTACTCCTATAATACTATATATTACAATTCAAACAAATGTGATTTGTTGTCGTTGTGTTTTTGAATGTTCTGAGCTCACCCCCTTGCTAACTTACCAGGTCCATATTGCAGTATGAACTGCTTTTTTTAAGGCCATGATGCTTAACATCATACAGTATCTTATTACCTCTTCAGCTTTACAGATGCCATGTCTGCTTCTGCAATGACATTGATTGCCACATTTGGTGAGGGGGTGGGTGGGGGTTATCCCGGTGCAGTGTTTATTGACAAAGGTCGACAAAGAACTTTACAATTAATTAGGGCATGGCTTCTATTAGAGCAATGGCCACTATTTGAGGAAGTCAATACAACTAAATGAATCACTTATAATAACTGATTGGATTCCAAGAGTATGTTGGACTTGCACCGTTTTGTGTTGATTTCCACTGCTGTGGTTTGGGGGGTTATGATCTCTAGAAAGGGCTTTTTGACCAATTTCAAATGTTTGGACTCCTAACTTTGAAGAGTTTAAACCTAATTGGCATTTTCCCTTCCCTGCCGATCTTCCCCTCCAAATGCCCATGTTGTTTTGACTCTAACCCACCTTTCCTCGGACCCTAGCTTTTACAAGTAAGATTGACCGTGTTTTATATTTCTAGTGGGCTTCATGGGTGTGCTTTTACTTGCATGAGTTTTATAATCACATTTCCACTTTTCCTGTGTTCATTTGAAAGGAATTAGGAGACTCAAACTGTGAATTGAAGGGGCTCACTGTATGCGTTGCTATTTTTAAACATTTCCGAAAGATAGGATGACTTGCCTGCCTCTGTGTACAAAGAAAGGAGTGTCTGTACTCAAAACTGTATTTCCACTCCCTCTCTTTAACTTGTCATGCTGTCTAGCAGCTGCTTCGTGGCTAACCTTACTCCTCCCTCTGACTAACTTGGCTGTTTCAAGGCCTCCACATCTTAATAGCACCTTATCTTAATATCATCCGTATTGCATGTGACACCACGAGCTATATTGACCGATACAAGGGGTGTCAGAAAAGTTGCAGATCTGATAGATATTTAAAATTCAAACAGCACATTTTGAAAGTAATCCTTTTGGAGTCTTAGAAATCTTCCTACACTCCTGGAAGGATTCTTTTGGAACTGTCAGACGCTCTGTGTATTTTCAGCAGGCACGAGTTATCCTGTGACAACTTCCACCTCTTCCCGCGCACTGAACAAAGCAAATGGCACAGGATTGTGCTGATTAATCCTTAGGCCCACATTTAAGGTGAAAACTCGAAACATATATTTTTGTGGCGATATCCCTGGAACCTTTCTGACACAGCTGCTTATGTTGGGATGTTAGAGAGAAATGTGGCAATGTGTTAGTGTGTGGCGACACTACAAGAGCCACTCCTCGGTTTCTGCTACAATTCAGTTCCTATGATGTGAAATAACCCAAATTTGTATGCAACTAATAATGCACGGTAGTCTTATCCCAAAACCACATTCATGGATTCGTAAAATCCTAATTATAAAATATTTGTTAGGAAAAACACTTAAGTACGGCAGTAACTGAGATTTTGCCCTTTGCAAATCAGTTCCCTCCCCCTCTATACTTTTTTTAATGGGTGCCCATTGAGTTGATGCTGTAGAGACGCTCAGCATCGAGAGGCCTGTAATTCCACAACACTTACTGACTGATGAGGCCCACTTTCAAAAACCCTCACTCATCAACGGCAAATTCTTAAAAACAGTGCTATCACAGGTGATATTTGGAACATCGTACGCCTTTATAACAATATTTGAGCTTTGAACATGGCTAGAAATAGTGTATGCTCCTTATATTTAAAATGACTTGACTTTTTAATTCAAAAACTAAAGGTCCAATGAAACCAACTTCCCACCAAATACATCGCATGGGGTCAAGGCCAATTGTAATTTGCGCTCAAGAGGCACATTTGGAATGGGTCATGGCAGTGTTACGAAGGAGGGAGGCATAAACACACAAAGGGGATGGATATACCCGCCACTATGAGCTTTCACTTTATCGAAATACACCAGTGAGGTTTAAATATGCATATCTACCCAAACAACAGTTAACACGTTAGAAAATAGGATAGCCACTGTATATTCTATTGAAATTATAGCAAAAGTGTAGACTCAACTCAGTTTTTAGAGCACTTAAAATGTATTGTTGTACATAAAAAAGACAACAAACCAAGGGTAGCGTCTCACTGCATTGAAAGCCAAGGAATAAAAATGGGTTTTAAAAAAATGGTGCACCGAGACGTCATTCCATAGTTCTGGGCTAGCTATAGAAAAGGCTCTTTCCTTTCTGAGCTTCTGCTGATACGTTGCTAAACGCAGCCATATAGGATGTATGCCACTTGAAATGTGCGTGGAAAGAGACGACGAATAAATTGAGTAATACAGGTCATTCGGAATTGGACATTTCGACCTGCGGTGCACATCCAGCTGAATTGTGCTCCACTTTCATGGATGCTTGAGAAAAATCTTTTTTGAGATTTCCTGTGAGGTATGTCACAGGTGTCCATGACCACGCATTTGTAGTGTGTATAGAGTGTAAGAGGACCACCTACCCCCTTCCCACACCTCACACTATCACAACTGGGGCAAGAGAGAAAGAACTGGAGACATCCTCGATGAATTTGGTGTGCTCAGTGAAGCATTCACTGCTTTCTTTCTGATCTTCTTTCCCTGATCCCAGTCAGCTGATCCTGCTCTGACTGTGTGTGTGTGTGTTTGTGTGAGTGAGTGAACGTGTGTGTGATAACCGCATTAATGTGTTGTCTCTCTCTCCCACCCTGCAACCGTTTTATGCTCTTTCTAACTCTCTTTGGAAACCCAAGGAGCTGGTAAGAGCCTGACTAACCCTCCTTGTCGCCATCCCGCTTCCTCCCGCCCACCCTCCCTTCATCAGTGTAACCTTCCGAGTATCGCTTCGTTTCATATCGTCTTGTGTTTTAATCCAGTCTTCAGTTCATTACAATTACCACCCAGTCAACACTATTGGTTCCTCGTTCCATTCATGTACCGTAGTGCACTTGGTGTTCCATGACGTTCATAAGTTCAACATATTGACGACGAGTTTTAGTGCGACTCTGCTTTTTAATCAGACTGAAATCACCAAGGAAATCCTGCCCCAAACTAATCTGCATTGTTTTAATTTTGCCAATCATTTGTTTCATTTGTGACAATCATTTAAATTTCAAAGGGAATCTGTCTGAAGGGATTTTGTTGGGTGTAGGTGATCAAGTTTACTTGCCAGTTTTCATTTTTTTATGCTATCATAAATACCGGGGGTCCTTGGTTTACAACGGTGACAACGTTCATTTCTACGGTGGAGACAAATCGACACGTATGCCAAAATGCAGCATCCACTCGATCGCTCATGCACACTAGTTCAGAAGCCATCATTACGGTAAACATCTTGGCCATAAATATTCAACTATCCAGTGAAAAAGACTTGAGTGTGGCATTAGATGGGCATAACATATTCTTAGCCCACTGCACAAACGAGTTCATTGCATGCTTTTCATAGCCTCAAAACATTGGATATGTCTGGAGTAGAGCTGCAACTAATGATTATTTTAATAATTGACTGATTGATGAAGAGGATCTAAAAAAAAAATCCAAATAAATGCACATTTTTATTTTGATTCAACATTAACACTAAGATGATCAGTCTGATTTCATGGAGGACTAAAGAAATTGGAGAATATTTTCTGTTGAGAAGCTGAAATTCTGAGGATTTGGACAGTTTTATATTCCACCATTAATTAGTCATAAAAAATTATTTAATTTGATAGTTGATATTACCAAGAGTTGCCGATTAATCATTGCACCTTTAGTCTTAACGCTGCTAAACTGAGGACCCCTGCGCACACACACACACACACACACACACACACACACACACACACACACACACACTGACTTGTTTTGTCCCCCCAAAAACAGGAGGAACAGTCTGATTTCATGGAGGACTAAAGAAATTGGAGAATATTTTCTGTTGAGAAGCTGAAATTCTGAGGATTTGGACAGTTTTATATTCCACCATTAATTAGTCATAAAAAATTATTTAATTTGATAGTTGATATTACCAAGAGTTGCCGATTAATCATTGCACCTTTAGTCTTAACGCTGCTAAACTGAGGACCCCTGCGCACACACACACACACACACACACACACACACACACACACACACACACACACACTGACTTGTTTTGTCCCCCCAATAACAGGAGGAACTATGCAGCGACAGTGTGGAGAGAATCGTGGTCAACCCCAACGCTGCTTACGACAAGTTCAAGGACAAGCATGTCAACACCAAAGGACTGGGTCAGCTTCTATCTGATTAATGGACCAAAAAAAGTCCACCAACTCCGCTGGCTTTTGAATTAGACTTTGTTTTGACACTTGTTTTAATTTGCACAGACTTTTCAGACAGAATCAGCAAAAGCAGAAGAGTGGGCTACGAGTCTGGAGAATTTGAAATTGTGAGTACAGTCTGTTTCGGACACGCCTTTGATTCTGTTTGGAGGCGTTCCAGCCGAGAGAAACAAAACTCTCATAAACAGGAACAAACCGGGATTTAATCAATTTGAAGGTAGCCACAAAAAACAATTTTTCATTTAAAGATTAAAAATGTACTAAGAAATGCTTTTTGATTAATTGTATGATTGTTTTTTTTTTGTTTTTTTTTTGCATGGACATCCACCTATGGCAAAACAAAATGTCTCTGTTTGAATGTGGTACCTTTACCGCCCAATCTTAACATCCCATGGAAATACCTTTGCAACCATATCTTGTTTGTGTTCTTGCCTTGTTGTGGTGCAGCTGGGAGAGGGCTGCGGCGTCAAGGAAACGCCCCAGCAGAAATACCAACGTCTGGTGAACGAGATCCAGGAGCTCTGTCAGGAAGTGGATGCCATCCAGGTAGCCTCATTCACACGCTCTCTCACACACACACACACACACACACACACACACACACACACACGTTCTTGAATTGCAGGCACCTATTGGGGTGACACTGTCACAATGTTGTGCATTAACTGTCACCAGGCCGTCACAAAGGAAAGCAACGCGGAGGAGCGCCTGACCCCGGTGGTCCTCGCCCAGCAGGCGGCTCAGCTCAAGCAGCATCTGGTTTCCGCTCACCTCGACACGCTGCTGGGACCGCATGCTCACATCAATCTGGCGGATCCGGACGGAGCGCTGGCCAGGTGAGCCGCCCCGAATGTCCGGCCTGCTGGTCTCACAGCCTGTTGGGGGAGGAGAATGAAGTCATTACAAAAAAAGTGGTGCTACTTTTTGGGGGTGGGGGGGGTGATTGTTTCATGCTCATGTCCGAGAATTTGTTTTCATACAAATATTGAGTGGAGGTGTTTTTACTACTGCAGTAGCACCGGTTTGTGATAAATTAGAGGGTTTTCAGACTTGCATTCAAATTCAGGTTACATCACCGCCATAGAAGAGGAACTCCATCGTACTGATGACTCTCCCTGAAACCATTTGGCTACCTCTCCTTCCTCAGGCGCCTTCTCACACAGCTAGAGGCAGCCAAGGGCAGTCGCAGCTGCTCTGCCGGAGACAGCAAGGCGCCGGCATCGGCCAAGGGGCCGGACGGGGTAGTCCTCTACGAGCTGCACAGCAGGCCCGAGCAGGAGAAGTTCAATGAGTCTGCCAAGGTAACAAAAATAAAAATAAATGCAGTGGTATGCCAAACTCACCTGCAACAGGTGAAAATCTGCTATTTAAAGACTACATAAAATGTGGATAGTTTTACCTTCCCTCACACTTGAAACACGAGCAATTATTAAAACGCCAGTTTTACACATTGTAATCTTATTTGAATACATGAAAATATTTGCAAGCATTAAAAAATGCTGTGTGGTATGAAGCCGCATAGATGACAGCAATACGTAAGGCATGGCTTCCATGGACCCTGCCTTCTTGTCTTGCATTCTCAATACAACTCTTACCCGCTCACATAAGCGCTATTTAATTTACAGTCATCAAAATAAAGAGTGCATTTAATTGCGCTGCCTCGTTCTCTCTGTAGATGGCAGAATTGGAGAAGCGTCTGGCAGACCTCGAGATGGCTGTTGGCTCAGCATCAGACAAAAAGGTACCGGCGTTAATTCTATTTGTCTGCTTTTCTCTTCAGACCTCACACAAACACACACAGTGTAGTCATGCTTCTGTTGCTATGGAGACCTCCCACCTTGATTTATTTGACTGTGATTAACCGATGCTGTTCTTGGCTTTTCCACTGCAGGGTCCTCTGAGCGCCGGCATGCAGGGAGTGAGTCTAACAGTGAGTCGTCCACTCTTAATTATGTTGTCACCACAATCTATTGCCAAAGAATGAGGTCACACTTCAGAGATGACATCACTTTCTGTTACATTTCCTTGGTAACCTGTCCCATTTTTTCCCCCTGCTTCAGGATACTTTGGAGCTTCTCCAGGCCAGGGTCAGTGCACTGGACTCGACTACTTTGGATCAAGTGGAGGCCAGGCTGCAGGTATGGTTTACACTAGATAGAGGTGTGCAAAGTGTCATTTCAAATGGCCATCAACACGAATACTTTTACTCTCAGTAAAGCTTGGATGTTCTTGTAGGCTTTTTCTGATGGGCATATATATTATTTTGTTTAAGGATTTTCATATTAAAATGAAAAGGTTGTGAATAAATAGTAATGTCCAATTCACAATTTATAATTGCCAATACAGCTACAAAATCGTGGCGGAGCGCTACTTTTGTCTAAATGAATCTCTAAATTCACTTCACCCCAACGTCACAGGGGAAGAAATCGGAGCACCTTCCCAGTTTTGTTCCAATTGATGCCTGGCACCAGTGAATGTGCATCAATTAATAACAGAGGATGTATTCCAAATTAAAATCGGAATAGCTGAATTTGCTCATTTCGGTGGAAGTCATGTTCTTCTTATTGCTGTTCTGTGTAGGGTTGAAACTATGAATAGGCATTTAGATACATTTTTAAGGGGGGAAGGTGTCTGCTATTCACCAATCTTTGCCCTTCACAGCGAGTCTTGGTCCCTAAGCTCTACGAATAGTGAGAGTTGACTCCATAAAAGTATACTCACAAAAAAACACAATAAAAATAAAAAAATAACTTTTACAGGTTTTCACTCTGAAGATTGAAAAACGTGTCAAAGACATCATGTACAATAGCTAACACGAGCGCAATGGATTCCTCCATTCTAGAGCGTGCTCGGGAAAATGAACGAGATCGCCAAACACAAAACAGCCATCGAGGACGCCGACACACAAAACAAGGTTAACCCTTGCTTCACTTTCAGTTTACTCGCATGTCAAGGATTTGCTGTTGTTTGCTAAGTTTGACTCTGTTTGCAGCTGTCGAAGCTGTATGATGCGGTGCAGAAGTGGGAGGCCATGTCCACCTCCGTGCCGGAGGTGGTCCAGCGGCTGGTCACAGTCAAGGAGCTGCATGAGCAAGGTAATGAACTCACGAGACTCAACAAAGCGTGCAATATTGTGAATGTGCCGGCATAGTGTTGCTTGGAATCGCAGTACCCAAGGGAGCTCGCTGACGAGGGATGTATTTAGGTTAGCGGGGGAGGGGCCAATGGTTGCAAGTGCGCAGAAATGTTGTCATTGTGCGTAAACGGAGTGCAACACTTGACAATGGGAGAATGATAAATGATTCGATCGCAGCTTCTTTAAAATGCATCAAAGCAGTCGTCGATTTGATTATTTCATTGTCAAAGAAGCCGTTTTATCATTTTGGATTTTTAAAGGGTACTTCCGACGGCCCATTTCGAGGTAGTGATGGGGAAACGGAGCAATATTGTAAAGTTTGATAAATATCTGGTGTTACAAACTTTGTGTTTCGTCTTGTGTTCACCAAAACAGCACACGCGCAATCCCTCCTTGATTGATTTCAATGCAAGGTGCCGAAGTAGGAGCGGATGTGGTGTCACATGACATCACAATATATATGTATTGTCATAAATAGTGTTTAGGGGCTGGATTCCGCAGTAGGTGTTCTTTAACCATCAAACCACCGAATCCATTCAAATGGGTTACTAATTGTACAAACAAATGTAACCTCCAATTTTATCATGATGGTAAATGGAGTGCATTTTTATCATGCTTTGTCGACACTATATGTTCAAAGCGCTTCTGCCAAGCCTCAAATTCACTTTTTTGAAAACAATATCTAGTATACATGCGCGCTAATGGCAAAGCAGCCTCAGCCTTTAAGATAGTTACTTTAAGCACCAGGATCTCCCACCTTATAGTGTCGAACTGCAGACCCCAGGGTGTTCTACCCAAAATCCATCCATTTTCTGAAGCACTTATCCTCTTGGACCCATTTTAAAGCCGTGCGCTCATCGTACAGGCTGCTATCTTAGCGCTAAGCTAACCGGTGTATTTTGGCATCCTCTCCGGCAAGCAAGGGTTACACCATATACAATACTGTCTCTCGGTGGCATAAGGCCTGCATTCTAGAAGGAGCAGCACACTAAATTGGATTGCAGCATTAAATCATGATCACCAAATGGGTTAATGCTTTACATTCTATTTGATGATGCTCTTTCTCTGTTGATATGAAGTGGCTTTTCAGGGGAGGCTAGACCACATTGATTTATTCTAATGGGGACATATGATTTGAGGTTCAAGCACGGTCACAGAATGAATTATTCAACTGAAGGTACTCCCTTTTTATGTCTCACACAGCTATGCAGTTTGGCCAACTTCTTACACATCTGGACACTACTCAGCAGATGATCAACAACTCTCTGAAGGACAACAACACCCTATTGACACAGGTAAGGAACAGCAGACGCTTACAGCCCCGCACCGCCCCAAAGCACAACGAAACCTTTGTGATGGTGACTACGCAGTTTGAATCCAGTCACCCAGTAATTAATAGATACTCTCTGACAGTGTCAATGAAAACCAAGCATCATCCTCATTTGTAAAGTCAGATTTTTACATACAGCTCCTGTGTCAGATCTAAAAAAAAAAAAAAAAAAAAGTTGCTCTTCCTCAAATACATCCTCCTCTCCATCTACTCACGTCAGGTCCAGCAGACGATGAAGGAAAACCTAGTGGCCATAGAGGAGAACTTCGCCACACTTGACCAGAGAATGAAAAAGGTATCCAAATAAAGCCGCATCAACAAATACAAGAAGACAAAACGTTTGGACGTGAACATGGACAAATGAGAGTTCCACAGTGACTCTTTCAACCAACACTATCCTTCACCCCTTCCGCCTCCCGTCCTTCTTCCTACTGCTCTCTTCCTCCACCTATGCCTTCTTCACTAAGTGGAATGTTGGGAACGATTGAAAATAAGACCAAATTTCCTCAAGCTAATTGAACTGACTGTATTTTATGATCATTATTAGAATTAAAGATTCAAGATGAGACTGGATTTATACTGTATCCGTGTGCAGTTTAATGGTTCACAGTAATGTTGGAAGGATACATCAAAGATGTATATAAAATAAAATAAACCTTTGTGTTGCCTCCGAAGGAAAAATGTGTAAATATGCCGACGTTACCTTATTTGTTTGCTTGTGCGCCAGTCGGGTCACCTGTATTTATAATTATGACTGGGAGGGATGCGCCACACACACACTTTCGATCGTCTGTCATTGCCAACTGTATTGTGGTCAGAAAATATGATCAATAAAACAGATTAACTCGACTTTTTTTTTTTTTTTGGAGTTCCATATTATGGATTTCTACCAACGGTTATACTTGATGGGAAGCAGTAGGTGGCAGCATAGCACTTAGTATAAAGGACACAAAGGACGTATCGCGGAAAAACATCCATCCGCAACTTTTTGTTTGAAAGCATGTTTAAGAGAGGAAGTACAGACCTTCGGGGTATTCCACGGCTGCAGTAGAGAAAGAAGGGCGTGTCCTCACTGTACAAACAGCGCTCCGTATCGTGTGTGTCCTCATCTAACAGGCTGCCAAGACCATCTGCACTCAATTAGATCGCACAACAGAGCATTGTTACTGGAAAGTAAGGAGGACTGATGATGACGATAAGTGACTCTTGTTTAGGAGTGTGTGTCAGTATTGGGACACTTGCAATGCTACATTGTTCACGCTTGCCTTAAAACCAATGTCGGTACGATCTTTATGCAGTTTTATCATCACAAGTAGGCGCTAATAATGTACATTGCTGAAAATCAGGCACAATTCAAGCGGTTTTACTTAAATTTGAACACCCTCAAAGAAAAGAAAAAACAAACACTGCAAACTAAAGCTTTGGACATACCCGATTTATGAAATTAATATCACCATTAACTGTTTTTTAATCCATGGTGAAAATATTTTGGAAAAACAAATAATATATATTTTTTTCAAACATCTACGTTGAAATAAATGAATCTACTTAAATTTTAATATCCACATTCAAAGACAATTCTGCATTAAAAACATGAAAATCATATACATTAAATTACTTAGGGGGAACATTCAAATGTTTTTTGTGTTCACATTAAAGAAAATGCTTTTTTCACCTTAAAATAGCAGCAAAAAACATACCAATGTCCACAATAATTTAAAATGCACAATAAATATAATTGCTAAATTTAATCCACATTAAATACGTCATTAGAAAAGTACATAAAAAAATACATGAACAATTAAAGATCACTTTTTTTATGTATTTATAAAAATCAAAACTGCATTCAAAAATGAATAACATTAAGAAATATTTAAATGATGTTCAAAGAAAAATTTTAAAAATTAAATCAAAGGTCACAATGCTTACTTGAAAAACTGAAAATGACCTGATCTGGTCTCATTCTTTTTCCTTGATCTGATAAAGATGCTATTTTGTCATGCTCTTGCTTTCCACCGTGCAGCATGAAGCACCACAAATGAAGCAAACACTTCAGACATCTACTTTGTGAGGCCATGTTAGACTTTAGGGTTTATTCTATCACCACATTAGCAGCTGTATCGCTCCGTCTCGCCTTGGAGCCGGGATGTTTTCCGACAGCTGCCGTGTGTGTCTGTGCATGTGCATGCCTGTGTGTGCGTGTGTGTGAATAGCGGGGTGAGCTGACTGGGTGTGGCTCGAGTCTTGACCAAGGCAGTGTGGTTCTCAGCATGAAACAGGAAATGGAACTTGCTGCAATGCAGGAAATCCTCTGGCTCCTCAGTACGATACCCATAAAACACAGCTCAACTTCGAAGGTTCTTTTACTTTGTTTTGTTTGACAGAATCAGACTTATTTTTACAGTTATGGCATTTTACAATATTACCATATGAATTGGGGGCAAAAAAACTTTGATGACAGTTTGACCCCAGAGTCGACAGTTCAGCTTTATGAGGTTCCGCCAAGATTGTCTTTCACCTTATTTTCGTATTAAAGCATCACTCTTATGTTTTAACTTTTCCTACATTTTTTAATGTTACACCTTTCTACCAAGTTTTCAATTTTGATATAGCAATATTATAAATAAATAATATATATATATATATATTAGTTTTTTGTGTTTTTTGTTTGTTTTTCATTTGGTTGCTTGTGCTCAACTGAGGTTCCACAATAGGTCTTTTTTTTTTTAATTCAGAATCACACTTATTTCCACATGGAATACTTAAAACAAGGTTTCAAGGTTTTATAACAGTTTGATTCTAGAATAGAGTTACACAACTACAATTTGGAAGGTTCCACATGACGTATTTTACATTATTTTGGTTCTCTTATACATCACCTGACTAAAATTTGCACTTATATGGCATGTTCCAACGTTACAACTTTACACTTAAGATTTTATAAACAGTTGTGTTTAACTTTTGAGGTTCCACAAGGGTGTCATTCACTTTACTTAAACTATATTATACAGCACCAAACTTACTTCTACTCTTTTCTGGCATTTTGAAACCTTTGATTAGTTAAAACCGGAGGTTTAAAGACAATTTGATCATGGAATTCACCTTCCTGCATTCAATTTCGTAGTTTCCACGAGATGTCTTTTGGTTTTATTGTACAATGGCCAACTCATTTTTATACTTGGAATGTTACAATATTACTTAAAGCAAGGTTTTTCAATAAGTTACACACTAGAACAGATTAATTGGCTCAATTGTGTTCAGTTTGCGATGGTTCATGGGAATGTCATCCTTTGTGGTTCCAAATATTACAAACAGCTCTCAGTAAGATTCACCAACAAAGCTCTTGTGAAATAATTCACTCAGGCTGTCTCAATACAATATTTTATGTGTGTAAATCAGAACACATTGTCGGACTTACTCATGTCGCTTTGACTTGCAAGTCTCGTTGAAGAAAAATGAATGAAGTAAACATCGTGCGTGTGTGTGTGTGTGTGTGTGACTGTTAAACAAATGAAAATGATGCAAGCCGAGTTGTAAACAAGGTCTCGCTAATGAAAAGAGCCCATCCTGACAAAGTCAACAGACAGTCGGGTGGAGGTGGAGGAGGGCGTGAGGGGGTGGGGGGCGTTGGGGTTGTGGCGGTCCAAGTGTGCCGAACTACTCAGCAACAGCCACCCGAGCCGTGACGCGTTGCTGGTGCTGTAAGCCGGTCCTGGAGACAAGTGTTTGAGCTCGCGATTCGCTGCTTGCCGCTGTTGCTATGAGGGGCCGCGCGCGCGCGCCGCCGCTACGTGAGCGCGCACGGCTTTGGATTTGCCTAGCGCGCACAGGGTTACAGGGTGTGAACGTCTTGTTTACGTGACGCTTTGTCACCAAAAAAAATGTCTTACATGAACTCTTTGACACGTGTGTCTGATGGAACGCCTGTTAATTTATCCGCCAGTGGCTAAAAATAACCATGCGGCCAAAAAGATCATTTGTGTAATTGCGTTGATAATCACGTAACCAAACGCGCAAATTGGGATTAATAGCCATGCTAGCATAGGTGGACAAACCGCGGCCCATGGACCGCCACATCAGCGACTCCTGTTATGAAAACAAAACAAATATGTAGTTATAAAAGCATTTAACCACAAAGGCTACAAAACAAACTTTTGTCTGATTGTTGCATCATATTTGTTTGTTTTTTACAGCCCTGGGATAACTACGTCTCCAACTGAAATCCACTTGCTTTTGTTTACAACAGAATAAACAAATTTAGACATTAGTAAATTAATATATAGTGATACAAGGTGAGGAAAAAGTAGGTGTAGTTTACACATTTTTAACTCTATTTAAGGGCGAGGGAGAAATGATGGGAGGAAGGACTAAATGAAGGTAGGAAAGAAGTTGTATGAAAGAATAGTACAAAAGGAAGGAAGGGATAAAAAGGTAAAAGACACAAAGCAACTGGGGGGATGGCAAGAAGTTAGAAAGGAATGGCGGTAGCAAGGAAGAGTAGTGAAGAATTAAGTCATGAAGAATGCAAAGAAGGAAATACTAAGGAAGTAATGAAAAGGGAGGAAGGAAATAAAGGAAAATGAAAAAGAACAAAGCAAAGAAGAAAGGAAGACAAGAATAAAGGATGAAAATAAGGGTACAGCCCCAAGCAGTTACCTCCATCTATAAAGAAGGAAAGTAGGAATGAAAGGAAGAGAAAATCCAGGAAAAGAAGACAGCAAATGAAGGACAGGTAGGAAAGAAAGATTACAGGAAGGATTAAAAATTATAGAAACAAAAGAATGATGAGGAAGTCGGGATGTTTTTTCTAACATAAAAAAAAAATCTGTGGTTAGATGAATGTGTGGGGTGCTGAAGCACGAGAATACAGCAGTCCACTGAATTATAATTTTGTAATACAATACATACATTTTGTAATTTCATTTTTCAATTTAGATTAAATGCCTTTTGTTTGCAATTTGTTGAATGTGTTGTGTGTGTGTGCGTGTGTGAATATTGTCAGATGCAGTCCAGTTTACGATGTTGATACAGAATTTAAAAATGGGTTCCTTCAATCGCGTATTAATCAGACATGGTGCATGCTCACTTGGGGATAAGTATGGACATTGGCTTGACCAGTTTTCTTTTTCTCCCTCGATATATTTTTTTCTGTGGTTTTTGTGTCTCATCTTTTTATTTAGAAGAAACTATTGTAAATCGGTCAAAAAGTGAAAACTGAATACTAACTAAAACACCAGTTTGATATCCATTATAACAGCAATATATCCTCATCACTCGTGCAGGTTTCGTCGTTATTAGTTCAAAACATTTTGTACGAGACAAGCTGAAGTCGCATGTACGCGCACGCACTGTCTTGTTTTGATACGATCCCGGAAGTCAGTGGCAGAGGGCGCGCACGGTGACGCGACGAAGCTTTTAAGCTCTAAACCTTTGTGGTGTTTACACGTTCATCATGTGAAACATTAGAGACGCCGGATTGTCCACTCGATACACGCCACGCGTCTGTTTATCGGTGCCGCTTCTCCTTTTGTGACGTGTAAAAAATAATGAGTGGGCGTGGAACGTCACGACGCTAAATATCAAACGACAATTCTTCGACATTGGCTTGCCGCGCATATATGTATATTTTTAGATGCATTTTTGTTCGAGGCAACGCTATTTAATAAAACATGTTCGGATTCTGCCGGTGTTATCCCCAGCTAGAAACCGGTTGCCAAGAATTGCATCATTCCTTTCATGTGACTCCCATACGCCCCAAATTCGTCCTGGCCGTCTTATGACTGCATCACAACTGCGCTTCTTACAAACTATACAGACAAGTGGAAACGCACTCAAGCTGCTAGCCAAATAAAACCCGACCTTCTTGCCTGAATCTCCGCCGCTCTCATTGGATGTCGTCAAGGAAAACAGATTAACTGCATCCTTACAATTGGACCGCTCATACGCCACACTTCGACGTCATATAGTAGACCCGTGTCGCCCTGCCATAGTTCGGTTGGCCTCGCTCCTTATAAACAGCGCCGGGAGTTTCCGTTTAAACACATTCGGCTGTCAAGTGTTGAACAATGGTTAACATGAGCTATCACCCATTCCCACTAAAATATCTACATTCGAACCAGCGACAGTCAAGACGGCGAACGAATAAAAGGAAAAGGGTAAGTGACAACTTTTGACGTTTCATTAATTTTTCGTTTTTATTATTTAAGGGCTTTTTTTCCCAAGTCTTGGTGAAAGTCAACGGAGGAAACTTTTTTTTTAAGACTGGAAACCGTTGTGAATGTCTTCAGTCGCTCTGAAGTGAGGCTGTAGCTTTCTAAATATATCTTCGCCGGAGGTGTCGCACGACTCCAGCAAAGTTTCAACATTCGCGTGCGTCAAAGTTCGAAGAGACAATTGGATAGATTGTATCAATATATCATTCAGATGACAGAGAAATATTTATGACACAGCTGCAAAGTATTGGTTTTCCTTTTAAAAAAACCAACACCGAACTACAGACTTACGTCAAACAAATTCATTTGAAAGGAAATAAAATGTAAATACTGTATTTAACCGGTGTCGTTTTTGTTTACGTCTTGGCGTTTTCGATAGTTTCGCCCATTCGAGACGCAACAGTCCTCTTTTTTCCATGACGTAATTGTCTTGGCTCATAGCGGCCAATTCAACAGGACTCGACAATAATCATAATTAAAAAAATACCTTTGACATTTTTTAACTCAACTAAAGATTGCAACAATTGTCAAGTAAATAACATGACAACCTGTTAAAGTATGTGCATTTGATGTCATTTTTGGTCGAGGCCAAACGGAACATGCCATTCAATGAAGTCCCTTTTTTAACAACCACTACAATAAAACTTTCATTTCGGTTTTATTCGTGTTAATTTTTGGTTCTGGCTACAGTGCGCGTTTAAGGCGAGCAAGAGGTAGGACTGTCAGGTGCTGTGAGAGGTTGAAATCAAAGTCTCGTCGCCGTTCTCATCTTGTTTATCGATTACAAAGCGTGTTGTGATGCGCTTTGGAGCGTAGGGGGCGCAGTTGAGATCCGCTCGGTCTTTGTTTAGAGTTAACGGGTAGAACGTCTGTCTTGGAACAGAGTTGTGTTGCCCACTTTTTTTCTCAGTTACTCATTCATATGTGACTGAATTGGAAAAATTATTCTTCCAGATTTGTAGGGGCAAAATATCCCAAGCCGATTTGCAGACTTGATTAAGGGAGATCTTCGAAAGGTAAATTCAAATTTCTCATTTTCAATAGAATTTGACAGTTTTCCTTTTTTGTCATTATACAATTTGCATTTTGAACTTCATAAATGCTTTGATTTTCAATTGTGTTTGACTTTGATGCGCGTGTGTAGTTATTCCCATATGCAGTTTAACTTGACTTTGATGTATGTTTTTTTCCGTCTGCATTTACTATTCATAATTGTAGCTTTAATGTTCAATGTAAATTGACGGTTGTATGCTTTTAACTTTTTACGTACATTTTGACTTTTCAAATTCTAAATGTAACTAATTTTCAATTTGTTGATTTTGTGCTCGTTTTTTTTTCCATTTACAATGTGCATTTTAAATGAAATTAGTGTAACCTTAATTTTAAAAGAAATTGTGCATTTTAACGAAGTGGGGCTTTAATTTGAAACATTTTGAATCTTTTAACGTCAAGATAAAAATAAGTACTTTTTGCCTGTCATGTTCTACATGCGATTTGCATCTTAAAAAGTGAAAATGCAGTTTAATTTAAATTTTAACTGAATTTACAAGCGTTTTCCATTTTTTTCCTTGTCACAACGATAGCTTTAATTTTCCATTTAATTCACTTGTGCTTGTATGTTTTTTTTCAACACGCATTCTGCATTTTTAACTTAAACCAAGGAATCAAATTAAATTATCTATTTTGCATATTCAACTGTCTCATAATGTGATTAGATCTGATTTTTTTTTAAAGGGAGTGGCACCATTCCACAGTTTTTCCATCACGCTGATACACACTTGAATTCCCACAGGAGCAAATTTGGCATTTAACATTTGTGGTATCTCTCGTGCCGTCAGGTCCCAAGTGAAGTGTGTGGCCGAGTGTGGAGTGCATTGCGAGTTGACTGGCGAGATGACTGCCGAGTGGCTGCACCTGCCCCCGCCGTACCCACCAGGCGTGGGGCCGCTGTGTGGCGCAGAGTTGGAGGCGTGGTATGAGGACCTGCAGGACATTCTGGGCTCGGACGCGGGAGGGGCAAAGCTGGCACGCGCCCCCTTGTATGGCGAGGTGAGTGGCTTAAGGAGGAGGGGACCTGGGTGGTCACACTTATAAAAAACAAAATAAATTTGTTCGATGTAGAGCCAGGTGTGTCCAAAGTAAAAATGATAGATGTAGAGCCAGGTGTGTCCAAAGTAAAAATGATAGAGGGGGTTCAGGGTGCGCACTTCACCATCCACCCATTTTGTACCGCTTATGCAGGGTTGGGTTGTGAGGGCGGCAGCTTTATAATTTTGTGAAACATGAAAACATTTTGTAAGTGTAATAAGCATAATTGCATTAATCATTAAAAATATTTTTGCGGGGAAAACAAGATAACAAAAATAAGAGACCAGTTGCCTCAATTCAGCCTCTGCATCTTTTTATGTCCTGGAGGAATGACTCAGAATCTACACAAAGAAAAAAATAATTTTTTTTTAACAAGTTCATGGGTATTTTTTTTTTTAATATTGTGAGATTAAGTTAAAAATGACATAGGCAATTATACTATTAGGCTAACGATGTTAAATACAGTATGTCGTGTGTCAACATACTAAGCAATTAAAGAAAAAAACTGTCCAAACCTCAGATCCGTGTTACTGGTGACAACAAAGTCATTCATGTGATATATACAGTATATAGGAGGGGTGGGAAAAGTTTGTTTACCATTTACAAAAATTAAACCTCGTAACATGTAAATTTAAATATAAGTGACAACAACGAAAAATGTTCAGTAATCTGAATCTCGTAGCACTGGACAGACAATATTGTGACATTAAAAAAGTGAGTCTTTTCAGCATAAATTTAATTAAACAAACGACCTAATAGAAAGCCATTAATATTGCAATATACAAATTTAAGTGTCATTTTTATATAGTGCTCATTTTAACATTCCTATAATTTAAAATACTCTGAAAACTAGTTTTTTTTAATAACATCTTACAGCTCTTAAAGGTTTTTTTTTAACATCTTAAGTATATTTAAAAGAAAGTGTCATGTCTTGTAACATTAAACCTTTGTCCATTTTTGTGTCAATTTTAACCAGTTGTCTGAGCATTATTTTTTCCTCATCACCCGATGATGTGGAATTCGAATGTGTCAAGCCAACAAAAATTGTGCAGTGGACTGCCAAATGGCTCCCAGGGCGGTAGAGTTTGAATGACGGAGGCATATTGTGACATCACGTTTTCTGGTGTCGTACTTACAGAAGGAGCCCGAGTTCTTGGATGTGCTGGAGAGTTGCTCCCTGACGTGGCTGACAGACGGAGGTCAGACGTGGGGAGAGGGCGTCCAGAGGACGACAGAGCAGATCCACAACGCCCAGCCTCTGCATCACACCTCATCTTCCACCACGTCCTGCTTGACTCTGACAGAAGAGCGGAAAGCGGAGGCGAGGAGCAGCGATGGCGACCTGCTGCCCCCAGAGTTCTTCGAGTTCCTGAGTGAAGGAGGAATGGTGGATTCAAGCGGTTGTTATTATTACCATCACCACCAGCAGCAGGTTAACAGCGTCCATCCAGCTTCTCCATCAGTCAGTGAGGAAGAGTTGCCCTGCGTCCCCGATTCGCCATCTTGCTCCTCGTCGTCTGCCTCACAGTCACCTTCCCAGCGCTGCTCTTCCCCATCGTCACCAGTCTCTTCCCCGTCCATCTATTCACCCTCGCGCCTGGGCAAGCGGCGGCGAAGCGAGGGGCCTGACGGCACCTCGTCATCCCCGGGCGCCTCCTCCCAGTCACAGCAGCACGCCACGTCGTCGTCCTCGTCTTCATACTTGTCCGCCAAAAAGAGTCGCAAGGAGAGGGAGCAAGAAAACGAGAGGAAAGTGCAGGAGCTGACGGAGCAGAATGAGCGCTTGAAAGCGGAGATCGAAAGGTTGGGCGAGGAGGTGCAGCGCACACGGCGAGCCCTCATTGAGAGACTTGTCAACACCAAGAAATGAGCTTGAAGACAAAGAAGTAGTGAAGAAACGGTTGGTGTGTACACGCTCCTTAGACCGGAAGGTATGAAAACCAAAGAGATTTTAAGATGTTTGGAAAAGATGAAAGTCAAAGCAGAGCGAGAGAAAAGCTGCAACATGACTGCGGCAAACTGAAAAGACAAAGCATGTGAAAGGCAAAAGAAGCAGGCTCTTGAGTGCATATCATACAGTGGTCGCAAGGTTTGGAACAATTAAGTTTATCCACCGTTTCGAAGCGTGTGATGATTTGTATGTTTGAAAGAAAGGAATTCAATTTGAGGGCATTTCGTTGTCATCCTTTCCTGCCATTTTGCAATAAATTGTAACTCCTCCTTCAAGGGCTGCAATATGGCTAGCAGAGATTATTTGCCCCAATTTGTAGATAGAGGAGCTCAGGAATGTTTTGAATATGCCCCCTTGGCTTTGAGAGTATGACAGTTCCCCCCGTGCCCTCTATTTTGTAAGCCGTCACTTGCCTGTATGTGTATTTAAAATTCAAGCAGGTTGCACCCACCTAAACTTTCTACAGGTGACCTTTTTTATTCAATGCTGGAACTGGTGGTATATCCACATGCTATTTTTTATATAATGGTGGTAACATTTACTGTACTCATCTGTACTGTTTATTTCTACTTTTATTCAAGCCACCCAAGTTATTATACATAAATAATGCATGTTTTTTTAAATAATTGATTTCATGTTCTTTAACATTTTTAAGATGTCACTGTAACCCCAAATTTGCAATAAAAGTGATTTCTTTTTTTGGTTCGCTTGTTAATACATGATTTGTTTTTATTGTGTTCACAACGTTGACAGGAAAGTACATGGCATCACAGGAAGTCGGGACCATAATTGCAAAGTTTAAAAAAAATGGGTAAAACACTTTCAAAAGCGTACATTGACAGGCTGATGTGGTTTGTATGTTGAATGTATCACAGGGAGAGTATCAAATCGGTTTCTCTTGGTCTAGGGATTTTTCCCAAATCCCTCCATTCTGTTGAATTCATTTGGATCCCTTTGTGTGTTTTCAATTCCCCGCCAGCCTCGCTAGCATTTCATTAGCCCTTGGTGCCAACGCCGCGTTGTCTCAGATCCCGTCACGGCTTTGCCTTTGGCGAAAAGCCTCATCTCGCCATGTACATCTTGTTCCCCTTCTCCTGCTATTGCACCTCCAACTTGTCCCCCCAGCCCCTACCGCGAACCACCCTCACCATTTGTGCCTTTTTTTTTTTTTTTTTTTTGCCTCGCCCGCTTGTCTCACTTCTTTTTGCCCTTGACGGGTGTGGGCTCGGGGCTTGTGCCCTCTGCCAGGGCCAGCTGTTTCTTCAGCTCCAACAGTTTGGACACCTCTGCCATAATCGTTGCCTTGTCGGCCTTCTGTGCTTTGAGAGCACGCACCTTTTCTCCCTGGCAAAGACAAGATACTGGGGTTTCAAATGTGCATTGGTTTTATTAAAATTAAAAATCTGCAAAGGATCACAACATATTCAACTCCCTAGACTTAAAATTTGTTAAACTAATTGTAATGTTCTACTTTTCCGTCAATATTCAAATGAATGTTAGTCTAACACATTTTAATGATGTGCAACCAATGTATATGTCCGAATTAAGTACGTCCAAAGGATTTTTTTTTTCAGTGTAGTTAGTGTGCAAAAACCTTCAACAGTGACTTGGTCAATAAATAGAATTTACATTGGGGTAATGTAAAGGTATCTGATCCCTATTAACATTAACTACCATTGTGAAGAATCTGAAACCAAAATAAATATATAAATGATGTGTCTTCATTGGTTCATTTCAAAACTCAAGGATTGAAAGCCATTGATTGGACTGCATTCATTTGCAAGAAATCAGTGCATGTATTTTCCAGTTAAAAAATAAATATGAATGGCCCTTTAATTTCCTGCGAGTCATTATAAAAAAAAAAATAGCGAGGGTCCATTCTTCATGAGTCGTACAGTAAAATTATACAATTCATAATTGCTCAGTGAGTCAGTTTTGGCAAATAAATACATTATACAAGGTGTCGCCCACCCCAAAAATTTATTCACGAGGAGACAAAGCGGGACTGGGAGGGAAGACAATTTTTTTTCTGCCTTTACATAAAATGTAATATCTTTTTTTAACGCAACAGACTTGCATCAATGTCAATAAACGCCCAAGTCAAAATTAACTATGAGTACTCACTGTAATGGCCTTGGGACCCCCTATTTTAGTCAATTTTCAAATCTGATCCTGTTCTGGAAATGTTGGGAAATCATGGTGTGTAGGATTTGATGTTAATAAATTTAATCGGCACACTTGGGAGTAAAGGAACACACAACGCCAGTGCGTTACGCATTCAAGACACAAACGAAAAAGGAACTGTATTCCGTTACAGTGAAAGGGAAAAACCCCCCACATAACCATATCACAGATAGATTGATTAAAAATTGGGATTATTTTGCAGGATTATGATATCCAAGCGGATCGAGAAGAGTGACAATACGGATCGCGAAATGGGCCGCCTGTTTCCACTCACACGATCGTTGTGAGCAAACGGAAGGTGGGGGAACTGGCTGTGTTTTTGTCATCGAAACGCGGCCAGTTTAAAAAGCAACAGAGACGAAAGGAGCAAGTGATGACCATTTGGAATATACTCACCACAGGACTGATTTCTCTCAAATACTTTTACAAGGAAAAGGTGAGCTGTCATCAGGACTGCTACGTGCGACGGAGCTATAGCTGATAAGCGCTGCACCGCCAAGTCAGGTGTTAACCTCTCGGCACAAACCACCCACATCTTTACTCTTAAAACACCAAAATAGCAATAAATCTAAACTTGTCACGAGGGTAAAAATGTTTTTTTCTGCGTTTCACGTCACGGATTGTCATCACCATTGTATCATGATTTTGGTGTGTGTGTGTGTGTGCATTTACACACACGTGTGCTTGTGTGTGGGTGAGAAAGGTGTAGGTTTAAGATACTGCTGCAAATATTGCCTTTCGTAAGTTTTTTAAACAGCTAAGTAGCAATTAAGAGAGACTATCACATAAAAACAAAATTGTTATTTGCAGAGGTCAAGGTGGGTCAAAACATTACCTGTTCAGCCACAGCCTGCGTCAGCTGCCGGGCTTTCTCCGGGTCGGCTCCAGCGTTTACCTCGATCGCAGGGGTGGGCAGAGTCGCAGCCGACTGAGGGTTGGCAGCGTTTTGAGTCGCCGTCTGAGGATGCAATAAGAACATACGGCGTGTTGTTATTTCAGAGAAGACGACTGACTTCATTTCAGACAATAGCGGGTCTCAGTCAAAGTGTCGACGAGATTTCACGAGTGGTTGATGAACGAACAGATGTGGAGACGCACTGGACTCGTGGCGATAAGAGAACATTCAAATGAGCTGCTAATATCCGTGAAAGCATGCGGCAATCAACGGTAACAGCACCAGTGTGGACGCTTCACAAACAAACACCAATGGTACCTTCTTGTTCGGCGATTCATCTTCAGGCTAGACGAAGGCGGTTGACGAGAAGGTTTAGACAAGGATTATTCTTCATCTATTTGATTAATTCATCAAATACAAAAGCACCTACTGTCTGTTTGCTGTATATCACAATTGAAAAGACGCTGCAAGCAAGCATTCTGCCTGCCTGGATCATTTGCACGGCTAGACATCACCACTTTGTTGCTATTTTCTCGCGCCAATAGAACAGTCAACCTGCTTCTTGGTTATCACAAACCTGCTGTCCACCAAATCTCTTCTTCAAAGCTTCAATCTGCTCCACCTCCAGTTTCTGGAACAATGGACTCACCTGAAGGAGCGTGGGGGGAAGAGTTATTTAAAAAAACACATGGCAGTTATAATGAAGATGCAGCAGAATCAGCCTGACGACTTTGGAGATGTGACGTGAAACGCAGAATCTCAATGCTAACTGTCGATAAGGTTGTTCAATTCGTAATTCAACCGAAACGGGTTAAACCTATCATGTGTATCAAAACAGGAAGTCAGCCATTTTGGGCTTAAGTGCTTAATTTGAGCGAATTCCAGACACTTGTACTCTGACAAACGCCTACTTGGGAATTCGCCCAGTGAGAAGCAGGTATCGGAGACAGATGGCCAATGTTTAACGGCAAAGCTTTTTTTCCATGCCATTTAATGTGGGCGGGGCATGGTCTTGGAGTTTTATTATCATTTCGACGAAGGGGATCTTTCGTTGCAACATGTAACTAATAATTCATTATTTCTGAAGTTATTTTATTTAACCTTTATTAATTCATTATTTACTAAGGGGGGAAACATGGTTTAAAGTGGACTGGAATGGACTGAGCTTGAGTGTAATTCCAGTAGCGTGATGAGTGCAAATGGACGGACAAGGGATGAAGGCACAATTAGACGGACTTCTCCTTTAGTTTACAACAGTGATTCTGAAAGTATGGGCTCCCTCGAGTGGTCTAAGTGTGGCTAATGCTACAATGGTTCCATTTTTTTCCCTCAATAGCAGTGGTTCTTAACCTGGGTTCAATTGAACCCCGAGGGGTTCGGTGAATCAGTCGCAGGGGTTCGACGGAGCATCTGCCATGGAAGTTAAAACACATGTAGCTTGTATGTCTAATGGCGGAAGTCAAGCAAAAAAAAAATTCCTCGACGACAATAGGTTCTAGGCGCCCGCACTTGTGTAAACACGGTATTCATATTAATAATATGTTGGTGGGATACGAGTTAAGCAGCAAAATTCACCTGCTTTGATCCATCTCAGTCAAAAATGACATCACAGCACTCAACGGCTTAGTTTGGCTTGAGAACATCACATGACCAAACCCAGAAAACAGGTAAGCCGTGACAGTCGTTCCCTGAGCCCTAAGGCACTGTGATGTCATTTTTTGTCAACAGTAAGTGGCAAAATGGCAGCCCCCTGTGATGGATAAAAACCAAGGAGATTTTGCTGCTTCATTCATATTCCACAAATGTAATATTCATCAGAATGCCGTGTTTGTTTAGACGAGCAAAGGAGCATAGGACATATTATTTGAAAGAAACATTTTGACTTGACTTCCAATTACATTAGCATTACATTGAAATTGAATTGTTTACAGTACTTTTTAAAAATTTTCCTACATTTAAGTACAGTGTTAATGTTCGAACCTCACAATGTTACAGTGGAGTACAATAAGATTAAACATACGTTTTACGAACATAAAGTGCCTTGCTTTTTTTCTCAACGGCCTACTACACTGCTGTATTTTAATGTTGGTCAAGCATTTTTTGAAGTGGTTCACTTTATGGTTTAAAAGGCTTCTTTTTTCATAAAATTTAAAAAACATAAAATCTGTCTGGTGGCATCTCCCCATCTCAGTTCAGAATGAGTACATCTGAGGAATCTCCTGACATACCGATGTGGGAAAAAAAAAAAAAAAGATGTATTTTACATAATACAAGATGTATTGTGAATTCATACTCACGGTGCCAATGCGGTGGCCAGGGTCAAGGACACGTGTAAAGGCGCCCGAGCCATGTAGCATGGCACTGACGCAAGAATAAGGCGCATTGAGTTGATCCCTGATGATTTGGCTCATCGCCGGCATGTAGGGGAGCAGCATGACAGACAGCAAGCAGGCGACGTTGATGGACACGCCAGTGACAGTGCCCGCACGCTGCCTGAAGGGGAATGATAGATTCTTATTACTGGTCCTCTAAAATTGAATTTCACAATTCCAGGGTGATATTACAATTTGAATGATTGCGTTTGTATCCAAAAAGCTGAGTGACGGTTTATTTCTGTTTCTTCAATCAAAGCAGGGATTCTCGGATGCACTGTATATGCAAATTTGTCTGACCACACATGATATTATAGACAGGGTTTAGCTCGAGCTGGTCATCATAATCTCACCGCTCTGCATCTCCTCCCTTGATCTTCTTCCAGGGTTCATTTACTTGGATGTACTGGTTGCCATGGCGAGAGATGTTGAGGATGTGCTTCAGAGCGTCACGGATTCTGGTGGAAATATTCAAGTGCCATTTCAGTTCCAGCGCAAATAGGTTCTCCATCACCATTTAAAACGTCACAAAACTATACATGTATGGAAAAGCAGACACTTATGCCATCGTGAATGTACTGTATATATAATTCAAGTGGTCTTACTTGACTTTGTCCATGAGCTGGATGTACTGCTGCAGCTCCCAGCCCACTAAAGCCAGCAGCTTCTTATCTTCCTGCAGCAGCTCCATCGCGGGCACACAGCCATCAAAGAACTTTGAAACAAACATGCCGGCTCTAGAGGATGGGGTGGGGGGCAGTTGAAGGAGGGTGAAAAGACAAAAAAAGCAAGGAAAAAATATAGGGGTCATGAAGAGAGTGAGAAAGGCAGCTAAAAATCAGTGGGGAGAAAGTGCTTGATGGGGGAAAAAAAAGGCCTGCTAGCCGCCACACTAATTGATGATAAATTATAGATTGTGTTGCTTTGTGTAATGCGCTCTGCTGATGTAAATGAACATAACGGCCCTCCCTTTGAGCCTCTTCACTGCAAATAATCGAGCTGAGTTGAACACACGCATCAGTGGGCTGCTCGTGGTGAGACCGATCTGACGCAACAAACGCCCATCTACATTTGACTGAATTCCGCCTGACCAACATGCTTTGACAAGATTGTCATATTTACAATGAGCGCTGGGTTTGATGTATGAGTGGAATGAACTTTGCCTGACTCGCACTCTTGCTCACAAGGTGGACATTCTGACACTAATTATTGTGATTGTGATTTGAGGTGTGGTTTTCAGGCCACTGTCTACCTCCAAACACTTCCAGCTGGATGCAGTTTAAGATCTTCTAAAAGAAAAGAAAAAAACCCCACTGCAAAAGATCTTTGATGTGGGATTTAACCCAAATCTTTTTTTTAAATTCATTTAAGAGGCGGTCTAATTGGGCGTGATATTACACCATCCCAAACATATTTACAAAACGCGGGGGGAATCTCTTGAAATAGTTACGTCTCCAACAATCTGTGATCCTAATTGGACTGGGTGTTTGAAGGGAATTACCTTCCTTTTGATTTCACGTTGACTGAATGAAACAGCAATGAATTTTGCCAAACAGAAAACTTTCACAAGCTCACTATGTGGTGATGGATAACTATGACACTCTTGTTTTATTTTAATGTTGATGGATAATGTCATCATTTTCTTGCTTTACTTCAACTTCAACGGACTGATGTGGGACTACTCGCCTGTCCACTAAGGCACAAGCATCAAACAATTTATTTTTGTGGACCGCAAAAGCAAATCATGTGCATCAACTTCCATGATTCTTGCTCAAATCTGTACCAAATTTTAAATTGTCATATGGAATGAAGAATAATGGATATTGCAATCATTTTTTTTTTGGTTATCAACACCATTTTAATAGTAACAATAAATAGTTGAACAAACTACTATCCAAGAATTCTGATTTCAAAACGATTGCACATTTTGGAAGATGTGCGGCCCGTTACGTCTGGGGTAAAAATTTAGAAACAGCATTTTGTATTTCCTTGGGATGTCTCTGTGCGATTTTAAAATTGGTTTGATGAGCTGAAACCTTTGTGTGTGATAAACATGCAAAGAAGACAGAAATCAGGAAGGAGCAAATACATTTTCACAGCACTGTACATCAATTTGTTGTTTACATGTAATGATATGATGGGGTGAGACCCCTGCATTAGGGGTTTGCGCATCCTCTCTGTTGACTTAACTGTTCAGAGTTAAGCAGGCATTACATGGGCTTTCTGTAGCTGTGTACTCTATTTCCAAGTTGGTATACGAGTACTCGCCGCTTTGATGTGGTTTCCAGTTAGATATCTTCTTTCACTTTTTTAGTGTATTTCTGTGTCTGGGATGATGGACATTTATATTTTTCTGTTTTACTGCGATGAGCCAATAATTAATTCAGCTGCCTTATCACAAACCTCGCCCCCTTTTTCCTGTGATGTAGTAAGTACTCCTTCCTTCAACAACACTGCTACTACATTCATTGTTCCTTTTCCCCTTCCAGAAGTGTCGCCAGCATCAGCTTAAAGATGTTCTACGATTATATCAAGAGTAATCATTCAATTATACAGCTAATCACCATGGCGTTGTTATCGCTAATACAACTAATGTTGTACACTCTGCTTCCTTGTCTCTTTTGCAATCCCATACTGCAGGGCTAATGCTTACACTTGCAGGGTTCAGTTGGTTTCTTAATGTGTGAGAAACATGCTATCAGATCTGCTCCACACATAAAGTCCCTTGAGATACCAAGCCTCCTCACTCAGCTCTTCACCTGTTAATGAAGTTGCCCAAGTTGTTGAGCAGCTCAGAGTTGTTCTTCAGAGCCATGTCGGCCCACGAGAAGGCCGAGTCCTGTCCCTCGGGACGGACGTAGAGTAGGTAGAAGCGCCACACGTCGGACGGGATGCCCGTGTCCTTGGCCATGTCGCCGAACACGCCGATGCCCCTGCTCTTTGAGAACTTTGTATCTTCATAATTCAGATATTCTGCACACAAGTCAGAATATTACATGCCTGGTATGGCTGTCGGATGAATAATTCATCACTTTTAAATATCTATGATACAAGTAATACAAGTATTTATGGTGGCTATTATAAATGCGTACCAGTGGCAATCAAGTGATTGACCAGTGTGTAGTTGTCCTGAGCTCCCAGGAGGGAGCAGGGAAACACCACACTATGGAATGGCACGTTGTCCTTGGCCATGAAGTTATACATCTCCACCTGGCGGCAAAAAACAAAACTACAACGTGAGGATGACATCATATTAGATCATGGTGAGATCATCCTGTTCAAAGAGGACTAATCAGCTCTTCTCAGCTCCCACCCAGAACACACGCTGACACACAGACAGACAGAGACACACATACACACACCACAGCTCAATCCTGGGATTTTAGATGAGATGAGATGAGTTGATGTGAATGAAGATGTTGCCTGTGATGGCAAAGGATATATTTATTTCTTTTTTTTTAATCTGTTGGATCTTTTTTTTTTTTTAATGAACATGTAGAAGATGGTTAACTGACACTTAAAGCATGATATTTACTACATTCTATCTGTAAGATCTTAAATCCACTCTCCCACTGCAACACAATGAGAAGTTTATCGTAGACCAGCTGAATCAAGACAAACTAAGTGCATTAGAATATGTTACCTGCCCTGGATTCTTCCACCACTGTTCCCATTTGTCTGTATAGTTGGCAGTGATGGAAACATAACCGATCGGGGCATCAAACCACACATAGAACACCTGAAGAGACAGCGAGAGAGCCATGAATGGCCACAATCACAACTGTGTGTGAAGAAAATATGAACAACTTGTTTGCACACTTGAGCTAGATTTACACAGCACGGTTCCAGTGAGTCAGATTCTTTGCTCCCAAGTGGCACAATTTGGATTAGGATCACGGCAGCACGAATCTGATACATATCGCAAAGGCATAAAGGGATATAGCTTGTCAATGAGATACTGATGTCCACGTGTGTATGAGTCAACCAATTGATGATGTATACACACATACCCAACACAAAAGCATGTTGAAAAACACCCACTGCAAATTTAAACTACACCAAAAGCATAGACAATATATAATAATAAATTTGGGAGAACTTTGCCCCATTAGAAATGTGTCCGACATTAAAGACGCAAAATAGTTGCAGGCTACTGCCAGTTGTAAAATGGAGGTCACTTTCATTTAAAGTAATGGGTGGAAAAGTCAGACATTGACAGACATTTGTAGAAAGAAATAGTTATGTGTTGTTATTTATGTTTCCTAATTATTGTAAGAATTAACATTATCTGTCTTCACATAAATGTATATTATTATTTATAACATAGAATAACATGAATAAAATTTGAGCAAATTGTGTGTTTCATAAGTGTGTATCATATTGGTAGCCCTCTCCATTAATCAGAAGTAGCTCTCAGTCTCTTAAAGGTTGGTAACCCCATGCGTTAATATATTCACTCTGTATTATTGTTTCTTTCCATGTTGCCTTGGCATTTGTGGTGCAATTCATGTTGGAAAATATATTCAGTCAAAAAAACAGACTATATGCATTAAATTATAGTTGGGCACTTGGGACCTGCAGAGTAAATCCATCCCTGGTAAGAGAAAAAGCAGACCTTTTCTTGAAAGTCTGGGTGCGGAACTGGTGTTCCCCAGCGCAAGTCTCTGGTGATGCAGCGAGGTTTGAGTCCATCCCTGAGCCAGGATCGAGTGATCTGTTTGGCATTCGCTGTCCAGTCTCCGCTGCTGGTGGACTTGTTCAGCCACTGCTCCAACTGACCCTCTAACTGGAGAATACAGAAAAAAAAAAAAAAAAAGATTTCTGTGCACATGCTGCCTTAACAGAGAGACTGGACACAAAATGGCTGAACGACACAATTTGTACCTTTGGCAGGTCCAAGAAAAGATGTTTGGAGGAGCGGATGACTGGAGTCTGCCTGCAGACTTTACAGTGAGGTGCCTAAAGGGGACAGGCAGACATAGCTTCATTCAATACATTGATCAATGCTTTTCGATGATGCTTGTGCTCATTCGGGTGAGGGTTAAGTGGGGATCTATCTTAGCTGAGTCGTGCGACAGAGGCGGGGTGCTTGGCGGATTGGTTGCCTGCCAATCGCCATTATTCAGACCTATGGATTTAAAACAGGGGTGGGCAAACTATTGTGCTCAGTGGTGACACAAGCATTTTTTTTCAAGAGATAGATCAGTCAGCTCATTCATAGCTAAGACAACGATCACACTCCATAACTTGTCTGAAACTCATAGGCACAAGAGCTCACCTTGAGTTCCACTGCATTAATGAGTCGCCCACACTTGTCGCACTGGTCGCCACGGGCGTCAGGGTAGTTGCAGTGGGGGCAGATGCCTTCTACAAAGCGGTCAGCCAGGAAACGCTGGCATTGCTCACACCGTAGCTGCTCCACCACGTCTTCCAGCAGGAAGCCATTTTCATGGAGCCTCCAGAAAATGTTCTGGGCAATCCTGAGTGGCAGAAAATTTGGGTCGACAGTTGAACACAAATTCAGACGAAGACAGACCAGACACTGAACCCTCTGAGTAAGAGGGATCATTGTTGTGACAGACAGAAGACGTTAGAGAAATATACTATACAGAAGGGTTTCCACTGGCGATCATTAAAATGTTATTCGGGCGGGAGATAAGGGGAGGGGGGAAGCTTATGTTTGGATCAGAATGTGAAAGCTCTTTGCATGAATCCACTTTGGTCTTTAAGTCTGCGGGTTGTTTTTCCACTTCACATAGTGCCTGATGTCTTATGTGATGCTGTTGCAGATCAAGATGTCTGCTCTTGGTGGGAGAAGAGCGTCTCTTCTTGTGTTTTTGTTCACAATGGTGCTGTTCAGATGAAATTTATCTAACATCACAGAAATTGCAGCAACATAAAAAAAAGTGAGGTGACTTGTAGAAGTTGACCACAACTGTGCTCTAAGATTTATTCAGAGTTATTAAGCAGCTTTGATAGCTGAGAGGACTAAACGTTCAAAATCGCAATCCTGCCAAGATTATTACATTATGTTACATAATATAAATAATCATGTAAACCATGTTTGCCTTTTCATACCTGAGACAAGCGGTGGAAACACGGCATTCTACTCAGGTGAGTACTTTGCAGTGTTGTGACCTCTTTATTTAGCTTATATTTGCAATTAATGCAAATACAGGGTGGAACAATAAACGTACATAATTTGATTTATGACTATTTTAGGAGCTATGTCCTAAATAAAATACCCATGAAGATGTCGAATGTTTTTTGTTTTTTTTAATGACCATTAGAACAATGTATTCCAAAGGATATCGAATTTAACACATTTTAAAGCTTCAACAATATACATAGTTGCATACCACCTATGACAAGCCACACATTTTCTTTAATTGACTGAATTTCCTTGTTTGATTGTTACTGAGCATAATCTAACACACAAAATCTATTTTAATGAATCTCATTCTTCACCTTGGCGGGAAAAGAAAGAAAACAAACTGACATTAAGTATGAGTCAGTTTTACAAAAAAAATTGAATTTGAGCTCAATTGAGTGAGAAGTGGCTGTCATGAGACTACTCCAGAAAGACAAATCTTAGCGATGTGAACCCTGCTTGTAACTTACTCCGTCTGCTTCTCAGTGGTGGTCCTGCCGAAGAAGTCAAAATCAATCTGGAACCACTCATAGATGCTGGCGTGAATGGCGTGGTATTTGTCACAGATCTGCTGCGGCGTCAAGCCTTCTTCACGGGCTTTGTTTTCTGTGGCCGTGCCGTACTCGTCTGTGCCGCACACAAACAGCGAGTTCCAGCCTCGCAGTCGGCTGTACCTGGTAGAAGACAGCATTACAAAAGAGAAAGAGGTCAGTCTAAATAACTTGGCCGAGTGGCCTATTTATGAGCGCAGCTGTCCTCCATTTCCAGAAGAGATTCATTCCTATAGCAGCGACGTAACCCGATATTTGGCATCAGAACGCACACTCTATAACTCAGAAATGCTAATGCTGTAGTAACGTCATCATTATAGCTAATAATTGTGTGGAAAAAAAACTCACAGGACATAAATACAAAACAATCAAATGAAAAACAGTCAGTACTGCTGTATCTGAGTGTGCCTTTTTTGTATTATGGCCGGTGACCACATATTCATATGCCACTGTGCAAACTAGTTCATTGTGCATCGTCCATAACCTCAAAAAAAAAAAAACAAACAATTTTCAACAGAAACCAGGATCCCAATACTCTTGTCCCTCTTGGGCACCTGGAGAAGACGTCAGCGCTAAGAACGCAGCCAATGATGTTGCCAAGGTGGGGTACGTTGTTGACATAGGGCAAGGCGCTGGTCAACAAGATGTTTCGTTTGCCCTCCTGTGGCAGACTGAAGGAAAAGGAGAGTGTAAATCATCATAGTACCCATGTAGAAGAGTGGAATAAATGCAATGACATACATCGGGTGGAGCCTCTCAGTGGCTGCTGCGGAGGCATTGAAACCCTTGTTCCACGTGAGAGCAGCAGCTTCCATCTCTTCCTCTGACACCGCACGTTCCCTTTCCTCATCCTCAACAAATAGGGAGAACACAACAGAAAAATACCACTAAATACCTCGGACCCTAATGTACACATTTTCCCTCTGTTCTTTTTCAGTTTGTCTGATTTTGCAGGACAACAGGACCTCTAATGCACCTTCTTGAAGTCTAATGGTTTATTTGCAGTGATCTAGCAGGTACCTCAGCAGGGCCGCTGTTGCAAGGATGCGTGCCGCCTCTGCTCTGGCCGCTCTGCGGCGCAGGCTGCCTCTGCATGAAGCTCTTCATTGCCTGCAGGCCTTTTCCCTGCAGCACTTTGTGAGACGCCGACACGCAGCTCTGTGAGGCGGCCACACGGTCGAACCAAAGCCTCACAGACTTGTGGTCACCTGGAAAAAGCAAAGAGAGGGATGGAGAAAAAGACTCAGAAAAGGACCATGTATATTTAAGCAAGTAAAGGAAAGGTCTAGCTCACAAAAGACAATGATTAAACTTTTAAGAGCTATCAAAGTTGAAATTTCATCCAGATGTAGAATTTTACAATCACTCTGTCGGTGATCATGAGCACAACCTGATTTGAAATGCTGAGGGATGCACATGTCTCAACACAGTGTTAATTCTCACCTGAGGCGAGCGATGGTGCGGACAAAATCGGATGCAGCGCGGCACACACAACAAGATCAGCCACCGAAACAACATCCTGAGACAAACACAAACAAGATTGACTGCAATGAAAGCACGCTTTTACCAATCATTTTCAAAACACCTATTACAAACATTTACAGCTCACTTAGTAGGCAAAGCAAATTGATAAATACTGTACTACATTTCATCAGTTCAGTGAGTGGCCTGTGGCGTTTATTTGATGAGAGTAGCAAACGGTTATTACAGCAGAGGCCATTTTTGTCCTAATACGATTTCATCATAATACAGTATATGTTTTGCCACAGATAATGATGTTGGGGGAATTCGTGCACTCGTGGTTACCAGCCTGTCTCACTATTCTGAGTTGTTGGCTCCTGCCGTTCAGTAAGGAGTTCGCTCTTCCCGTGCTTGTATGCTAGGTTAATTGAAGACTTTAAATGATCCTTAAGTGTAAGTGAGAGTCTGAATGGTTGTCTGACTGGCGACTGGTCGAGGGTGTCTCGCCAAAAGTCATTTAGGATCGGCTTTCTATCCATTGAGGCCTGGCGCTATAGGAAATGGGTGGATGTTGAAAAGTTGACAATCTTTTGCTCCCAAATTTGTATAAGAATTTGGAATGGGGTGTAGAATGTCCATCGCTAGTTACACAGTGGTAGGTAAATCTCTTTGTTTTATGTTTAGTTTGACAGTAAACTTCAAATTGGAGTGGCAATAAATAGCAGGAAGCCTGTTATGGTGGAGACAAATCTTTGAGGATCGGCTTGTTGTACCCCAGTTAAATACGGTGTGTTCGCCTTGGTCAAGCTTTGATCCAAGTAGCTGAGGGGCCCTGCGAGGACTTTGGTGGCCTCCAATTCTTTCCCCTGAAGCACCGCCATATGAAGGGCCTGCAGGAGGGCAGGCTAGGGGAAAAAACAAAAGACAATATTTACAACAGAGGAAAATGACTTTCTCTCTTTGCTGGGTCCGAAAGCACAATTGAATGATTATTTACACGATTTTAAATCCCCACTGGCAGCGACAACATTTTCAAGCACAATAAGAGGATTTTGCAGGCGAGAATATGCAGGCACAGCAACTGAAAGTCATTTGCGTCTTTTTGAGGGTTGAGTGTTTTGTAAAACAGCAAAACTGAAACGTCTGGTGTTTCACACTGAGGAGTCTACCTGGAGATCTGTGGCTTCCCATTCGAGCCACTGATCACAAGCCTCGCTGCACTCTTGTCCGCTCACTTCAAACATGTATCTAAGAAAACAACAAACGTGAGCAAAATTTAGATACTCTGGAATACATGCATTCACTTACTTTGCAGGGAGAACTGTACATTACTGACCGGCAAATGGCATTGGGGCTGAAAAGGTGCTGTCCATTAGGAAGGAGCAGGGCTGGCAAAGATGGACGACTCAGGAATGGCACAAGATTTTCTTTAAAAAAAAAAAAAGTGTAAACTTGAATTCTGTCAAACTTAGAGACAATGATTTTGTCTAGTATGATTTAGTACAAGTACAGTATTAGAGTAAGATGATATGGACAAAATTTAATTTCTTGATATTCATGCCAGATATAAAATAACACACGATAATATGACAGCGATATTACTATGGGGTCAGTCAAAACTAAACATTTTTTTAAGAAAAAGCAAAACAGTATCCAAAAAGAATGGAAAATGTGTTTTGTTTTTTTTTTTTATTAGAACTTACGAACATTCATCAAAATTAACAGTCAGCAATTTTTTAAATTCACAATGTACTGCAAATGTGGTTTAACAATTAACAAGTTTACGATACAAAAGAAGTGTTTGTTGTGCATGCGTTTACTACATTAATGTCAGTGTTGTTTAGTTGCAATTTGTCCACGCATGTGTGGCTTGACACGTTACGTAGCTCTAGTAATAAGGCCTGCAGCGCAGGGCACAACGCTTCCAAACCAGACTTTGACTGGACCGTCGCAAAAAATAGCAGTTGGCCACTTGCTTCCAATGTGAACTGTGACAGCCAGGCTTCCCATTCGATATGATGCATTTCATCAAATTTGTAATCTATAAAATGATGCTGTCTGTCAAGAAACACACAAACTGCAACAGAAATACAGTAGTACGTCGGCAGATTATCATGATCAAAATCATCCATTCCTAAATAAAACTAATCTTTTCAAGTAATAATTATGTTATTTGTTATATTTTGTTTAATTTTTTTGAGTGAGCCATTCTGCACTTCTGTCTCACCGTTCTCCCACAGTGAGGCAAATTTACATAACCGCCCAAAGAATGAGTTTGTACACCCATGAAATGGAGAGCTAGGCTGGGTGAAGTTTCAGAGCCACCTTCGAGTGATGGATGAAATATACTGTCTGAAACACTACCATGCAGAAACACCCACAACCTCACACAGGAGTGACACCCCTGCTGCAAGTCAAAGTCAAAGTGTCATCAGCGGTGCATTGAATTTTATGGGATGCACAAGGCAAGCTTCTGTTAACCGCCACACACTAGATTACTTGGTGAAGTTGTCGACATGCTAGAGAGTATTTGTTTGGTGATGCTTCCATGTGCAGCACACTGACAGGGGAGTGCAAGATGGTGCTTGCTTTTTTCCGCACCACTCTGGGCTCTGTTCCTGCAAGGAGAACCCTTTCGAGTTGCAAGGCTCCACCTCATGTTCTCATTATAATGAAAGGTGGGATCGTTATTGGCTGAGTGGTTTATGGGGCAGGGCATAACATTGCTCATTTACATAATACTGGGTGAGCCCCTCAAAACAGGGTAAGTACAGTAGGACAAGAACCAGGGTGTGTAAAATTTTACATGATGCTTGATTCTTCGTGAATATTGTCAACAGCATGCCACTAACGTGTAAATTAGAAAAACAACGCATATGCCATGTCTCATTTAACATATTTAAAAAAAAGGCACATGCTTAATTTTCCATATAGTACAGAAGCATGCCAGATGGTGGCGGCTAAATGATTCCCAGGATCTGGCTGCTGAAGGAACATCATCTGGGATGAGCAGTCCACTCAGGGGTGAGGTGATGAATAATAATGCAGATATTTGCCCAACTTGTTATTCCACATTTCACAATTTTTTATGATGTTGTTCAAACATGTTTTCACATGACTGACTGACTGACTGTCTGGCACAAGTCAAACAAAATTATTCACCGAGTAAGTGCCTTCCAATGTAATATATGTCATTAAAAAGAAAATAAAGAAAAAAGGAAAAAAGGAAAAGTCAGACATGCAGATATAGTTGTGTTAATGCCTGAATGTTTGCAGCTTGGATGCAGACACCTCGAATAAAAAAATTCCCGTATGTCCATAGATCATTGCTTTTAAAACATGTAAATGGAGACTGTGTATTTGGCAAAAGAAGCACAACCGACTCGGTGATTGCCTTCCACTGGGCTCCTTTCTTTTCAGATGGTAAACAATGTGAAAATTGTTTCGCTCATGTTGTCTGTTTTTTTTTTTTGTGTGTTTGAGAAATAAAGATGGTTGTCACATTTTCACAACCGAGGGGAAAAATACATCTTAACAGGATGTGTTTTGTTAGGTTAAGCATTTAATATTCGAAGGTGGCATTTTTTTTTAGACTGCCACAAGACAATGCATACAAATCATGCTTCTAATTGCCAACAACAAACAGCGATTTCTTGAATAACGCCATGGATGGGGAATATCTTGCCTCTCCAATCTGTTGCATCATCAGTAATGCTCCCTGGTTCAGATTCTACCATGTCATTGCTGTCTTCTATTTTCTGTTTTATGAGTCCCCAATGTCTCAACCCCAGTTGACTTTCTTCATTTACATCTTTTTTTGACCTCTTCCGTGGATATCGAAAAAAGAACAAGCAAAGTAAGGAGTAAAGGATATTTGTGTTTCAAATGTAAGTGAAAGAGTCGTTTCGAAAAATACTCAAGTACAGATACCTGAAAAAGCTACACAAGTAACAAGGTATTTGTACTTTATTTCTCATCAGTGCAAAGCATTATATTGAACAGTAGAATACAAACGGCAATCGTGACGTCAAAGGCGTCTGTCTGCTTGCCACATGGTTCACCCACCTGAAATTGATTGAGAGGTAGGCAATAAATGGCACGAGCCAAACAAGCTTACGTGGACCCCAAAACAGCCACTTTCACGAAAACTCAGCCCAAACGATGCAAAACCGCACGCAATGCCAAACGAGCCTGACACTTTTCTTGTTATAAACACCGAGCTAAGCTTCAGTGTCTCTCTTACCTTCGTGGTTGACAAACTGGACGTCACACTGCACTCCAGCTTCTTCTAAAGCAGCTAACACTTTTAGGCAGTGCGGGTTGCCTTCGCTAATAAATAGCTTCATTTGGCCGTTGACTTATGACTTGTTTGGGGAAATGTCGACTTTTAAATACGCTCAAGTGGCTAAAATGTGACAACTTTGCCGGTAGGTAAGATCCACGCACACGCGCTGATGCAAGGCAATAGCGCGTCATTGATTCATGGCGGATTGTAGTTTTTAGAATAACGTCTGCGTATTAGTTCGTCGATATAGAGACCACATTTCCCATAAAGCTTAGTATCGGCACTACATTCGCGAGGTTGGCTTGGTTCAAACATGAAGAAGCATAGCGGGGCGGTGTTTGTTTCGCTGCCTTCCTCTGAAGCTCGCGTCACAGCGCCGACTGTCTGTGGAATCTGATTGGATGAATGTAAAATCATATCGCGTGAGTTTAGCCAATCTGCAACCGGGAAACTCATGTAGCGCAAGCTGTATTTTTATATCCGCTTAAAGAGCTCGCAGAAGGCAACATTCACTAAACCGGGCAACGTAAGTGCTCTCACATATGTGACTGTTATTAATATGCAAAAATAAGAAAGTGCCAGACGGAGTTGTTCATATTTGGCAAGCGATTTTGGACATCGACCGAGGATTAATGTGCTAATAAGCAGAGCGCAACAAACTAACCGAAGGAACTCTCCAAAATAAAACATTACCTCGCTGCTGCAAGGTGAGTGCTGGCGCCTCTTTTACACACGCAAACTCGACATTTGTGTTGTAAAATGTTAAACTTTTCTGTGCATTATGACTGCATTAAAATGTGTGTGTGTTTTGTTAAGTGTCAATTAAACTCCTAGGTGAGTTTATTGAAAAGTGGCATATGCTGTATTTGCATTTCTTTTATTTTATTTTTTAGATCTATACAGATTTAGTTTCCAAGCTGTTGCATAATTTTCATAATTATTTGTCCACATAGTACAGTTCTTCTCAGTTGTAATTACAACACTAATTTCATGTTATAAATGAGACATTTTCAATGTTTTACTTTTTTTTTTTTTTTTACATTGAGGCTGTTTAAATCTCCTTAGCTCCATTATACGTTTTTAAAGTTGATTTGAGCTCTTAAAACATTGATAAAATATCAATATGCAGTCACAGTAGCCACTGCCAAAAAATACTTTAGGCCACTGCTGCCACTATTGATCCACCACCAGGTCAGAGATGCACAAGTGGCAACAAATTTGCCTGATAGACAATGTCCAAAACCTATTGTTTCCACATCAATGTCAGCAAAACAATTTTCGCACATGCTTGAACCTGCAACCACATCCTGTGGAAACACATTTCACTCGAACAAAACTTTTTTAAGCTGATGTGGGCCAATACATGGCCCGCGAGAGCGATACATCTGGCCCATCAGACAGTGACGTGAACTTCACTGTCCTTAAAAAGGACATCCTGTGGAAAATTTACTTTTTAATGTTTGTATACAAGTAGTTGTGTTTGTGAAAAGCCTGCCCACGACTCAAGTGTGAAATTGAACAACTCCGTAAAATTTTCAGTTTCTGCATATTTCTAAAAATTTTCTTGAGAGTAAATGTTTTGCACTTCCGCACTTAAGGTAACTTTTAATTAGTGGGGCTAATTAACATTCAAACTAGCCATTTCTTCACCAATGACTTGGCAGCTAGGCTGGCCAAAGTTCCAGAGTGAAAAAAACACTTTGACGCAGCAGCCGAAACAATCATGCCCCGGCCAAAATTTACTCTGTTAGCACAAATTAGCAATGGTGAACCGTGTTACCAGCATTAGCTTCGGAGAGTAAGGCTATAATAATGTTCGGCTACTTGGGTTTGCTGGTTACTTGTTATGTGCCATATTATGTGCCACACCAAGTCTATATTGCTTTATTTTAAATATATTTTTTTTTTGCTATATGCATCCCCCACTCTTAATGTAATGGAATCTTTGGGCCCTTGCGTGAGCAATATATCAGTATTACCATCTCATGAACGTCACCTGTGAAGATGTTGGTAGTGTGGCATGTTTGTGTTTGGCAGTTTGGCTTTTATTTTGGGTGCTCACTTGTTTTCCACACTCTGAACGTTGCTTCCATGAGTAGAAGCAAGCATTTTAAACCAAAGTGACCCTACCAAAAACAAAACAAAAATTAAAAAAAAAAAACACGTCGAGTTGCTTTGCAAATTTGCGTTTGTTTCGTAGCCACTCTTAAGTCTATGCAAAGCAGGAAATTTGATGCCCTCACTTTTTTCCCAGCCCAGTGCATCGTCACCGGGCTGGAAAGATTATTCTGCAGTCGCAGCCATGCTGATTAAAAATGCCCCCATTGTACCATGCGCCGTATTAGCAAGGAGCCCGCAAGTTTATGCTGTAATTACTGCGGTGGGCTCCACGGCGCAGTGTCACAGAGGTTTAGTGCTTTGCATGGTGCTGTGTCACTAGTCAGATTATAGTGCAGCTCCGGGATATTTGTGCAATAGAGGGAATTGCGCTGTGTCTACTGAAGGAGTGTGCTTGCTTGCATGCGATCAGCTGTGTGGCATTATAATGTGCTACTTACAGATTTGAAATTTTCTTTTTTTTTCCCCCTTACATAGCAGGGGTCCCCAACCTTTTTTGCCCCACGGACCGGTTTAAGTCAGACAATATTTTCAGGGACCGGCATTTAAAGTCTGGCGGATTAATACAACAAAATAATATGGTATGAGCTGCATGAAAACTGTGGTGTTTTCGAAATATAATAATAAACACAAGGAGCGTCTAATCTGGTCGCAACACTCTTATCGCTCTGGTAATGTTTAATGCCTTCAAAATACGATACAACGCAAATTCAAAGTGCATGAAAATGACGACTCACCACAGCCCCGAGCTTGATTTTCTGCAATCAGACAGTCCCATCTCGGGGTAATAGGAGACAATGACACCTCAAGTGTGTGGTTTATGTCCAGTCTACTTCGTAATTTTGTTTTAGTCGCAGTTGCTGCAGAAACTCCCCACCTCACACAGGTAGGATGTCGGAAATAGCAACAGTGCTATTGTGGCGATCTCAGAGTATTCAGCCATAACTTGTACTTTTAAGGCCGCCGTCATTTGCGATCTCCAAGCAGCTTTTTTACTCACTTCGTTTTGTTTATGAGCGTCATCGGTCACGTGACCGAGAAGTGTGCCTTGACGTGAGTCAAGCGTGACACAGACGGATGTAACAGAGAATCCGGTAATTTTTCAAAATAAAACATATTTCGTATTCCGAAATAAATAAAACGGAAATAAGGCAAGTTCTTTCTGTGCGGCCCGGTACCAAATGCCCTGCGGACCGGTACCGGTCCGCGGACCGGCGTTTGGGGACCCCTGTTACATAGTGTTTATTTTCCATGGATGGTTCGGATTTTTTGGGTCAGTTTTGACCGAGGTCAAGAACATCCTCAATAACTGTTTGTAGCAAAATATAAACTACAGTTCTTTTCAAAATGTACCAGTATTATTTTAATAGCCTCAGTGCCATTTATCAATGGATAAATAATCCTGAACATTTCAGAGAAAAGGGGCATTAGTTTGCCACGAATATGCCTCGAGATACAAGTGACCCCGCTTATATTTTTTTCAGCTGCAAGATATCGTTTGTCTATTTTTTTCCTTTTTTCCCCCCTTTGACTTGCAACAGAGAACTCAACTTAATTCCACACTTTTGCAGATCATGAATAATTCTTCAAAAGACCCTACAAGCTGTTTAATGCCACTCACAGAGGACGTTTACTGTCAAAACAAACATAAAATAAAGATAACATTACCTGTAAACAAACACATAGAATTTGATATCAGTATTGGGCCGATACCAGCCTTATTGTAACATATCAGGTACTCATGGAGTCTGCTGATACGAGCCGTCGATACTGAAAGTTAAAAAAAAAAAAGAAAAGGGAACATTAAGCCCACCTCGGGTGTACTTGGTGCTATACTGCAGCAGTTTGACAAAACTGAATCATTTGCATCAGACAGAAAGGCATTTATGCACATTTTTTTGTGTTTATATATCAAAAGTACTAGAGCTATCGGTACTCGGTATTTGTGAGTACTCAGCGTAAACAACCATTGTGGTCATGTTCTGAAAAAAAATGGTTAAAAAAAAGGGTTAATATAACTGCAAGTTACTGGAGAGTTGTGACCATCTCCATGTATATCTTCATGTCTGCCTCGTGGGGATAAACGTTTCAGATGATGGATGGGTGGATGAGTGAAGGGATTATATTGCCCCAGGTGGCCAAGATACACACAACAGGAGGAGCAACACAATCGCAATGAATTACTTCTGCTCAAACTGTATAATGATTTTCATTCTTTTTAATAATGTTATAATCATAAGTTTTAATAATTTACGATATGGTCCAATGCTATTTTCATTTTTTTAAAAACGCATTATGACCAATCACGACTTAGCTTGCAAACTTCACATGACCAGTGATTGGTTGCAACCTGAGCCCTGAGCACATGTGATGTAATTTTCAGTCAACAGCAAGTGGCAAACTGTGTTTTTAGAGATGCTAACTGTACATGAAAAATAATGAAGCTATTCAATTAATTATAGAGAAAATATTAACTTTTTACTGCTGAAAATGGCAAATTTAGTCAAGTATCCCTTTAATGGTATTTCACCAGCGAAAAATGATTTGAGATACAAACATTTTGAGTAACACTCGTGGTCATGACATAAATTAAACTTGTATGTTAAGACAACACTGTATATAAATTACCTTGATTTTTTTCCCAATGGGAACTTTTTTCAAACAAATCGCTGGTCCATCAGCTTTGAAGGTGCCACTGTTGATTTTTTTTTTTTTTTTTTTTTGCATCACCAGCCCGAAGTTAGTATAATCACTCAGATTTGGCCCTTTTTTTAGTGGTCTGTGGGCCAGTTGTGGTTGAGGCCTATGAATTCTGCATAGCAACAAGTGGCAAACGTGCAACAAGAGTCTGCGTGATTCCTTTTACTTAATATTATAGTTAATATATGTTAAAAGTGTGTATACCCTTCATTGTTAGATGGTGGCGGTATCTTATTGTCCAAGTTAGGTACAACAGTAGGCCTACAAAGGCATCAAAGTTGCGTGTGCTGCTGTGGGAGGTTGAGCTGCTCTTCCTCCTCCTCCCCAACAGTATCGTGCTCACTTCGGCTACTCAGTGCTGTGATTAAAAAAAAAAAAAAAAAGTGGGTCTTTGACTTGTCTGATTGCTTTTGACAGCTCACTCTCTTCCGCGGCGGATCAATGGAGCGCAGCGCTCTTCATTAGAAACATCAATGCAGGGCACTTCCCCCGAGGCTCAGCGAGGCCTCCCCTTGCTCTGCCAAAGCCTGTTTTTGCCTCGCTTGGAAAGAGCATTCTTGACATTTCATTTGCTTTAGTTTTGTATGGGTAATGTAAATATGAAAACTCACAGATTTAAAGTATGCCAGATCAACGTCCAAAAATGGTGTGTGACTGCTAATCAATTGTGTTATACAGTACATACAACATAGGCGGTCAAAGTCCATTTGTCCGTTTAATGCTCATCACACTTTTTCTCTTTCGGGGTGTTCACACGGCACACATTTGATCCGGCGCTGCACCGATGTATTTTGTTGTTTATACCGGAGCAAATTTTGTGGAGTGTTCACACGTACAAAGCCGCTGAGCGTGGCAGCACCGGCACAGCGTCGGTGCAGCTCCACTTGCG